TGCAGCTTAATTTTCTGAAAGAAAAATTTTTAAAAATTTATAAAGAGTTATTATTAAATAAGAATTAAGAATTTCACGTGAAAATTATGAAATGAATTAATCGAAAAATTAACCGTTTACCAACCGTTAAACGATAAACTTCCAAAAAGTTGAAGAAATTTGGAGCGAGCCCCAAAAGCTGTCGTGGAACAGACACAATGCTGATATTAAAAGCATTTATAATATTTAAAAAAAAGCCGATCGGCCTGAGTAGGGATCAGGGAACTGACCTTGCACCAAAAAGGTTCTGGATTTGAATCCTGGGCAAGACATGGACGTTCTTTCATTCTATCTATCATCTTTCATACTATCTGTCCTTACTGTGGGAGCAACGTTGGCCCATCTAATATGGTGCCCCTGAAAGAGTAGCGAACAAATCTGACCTTCAGATGCCTGTCTGACGAAAGGTCATTCTCCGGGTGGGCATTAGAAGAAAAAATATTTAAAAAAATATTTAAAAAAAAAATTCTAGGTACTTGGAACAATAGAGAGATTTTATGCTGATCAGTTAATTCGAAGGCGAATTTTCCATGTAAAAAAATTATTAGAATAAATTAATTAATAAAAATTATAAATATGTTTCAATAGACAAAAAGTATTTTTAAGATTTTAATTTAGAACAAAAAGGAACTTGTTTTTTTATTTATTTATGCTCTACTTTTTCCTTGTTTAAAATCCTCCTTTTAGGAAAGAAGATTTATCGCAAAATATATTATTCACAGAATTATTTTTAAAATTTCCACGTAAAGAATGAGCTTATAAAACTTGGTTTTAGGTACGTTGTTTTTAACTTCTAAATAATTTGAAATTATAAAATCTGAAGAACGATAGTTTAAAGTTTTTTGAAAATATTATAATAACAAGCTTGATCACAATTTTTTTTAACATTCGTCTCCTTATTATTTTTAGTAACTTTTCTTTAGAAAGCACGCATGCTGTTCATTTCTGAAAAATTAAATATTTCAAAGATTAAAATTGCATGTAGATATTAAGTTTTTAACAGATTGCAATATCTAAAATAAAAAATAAAAAAAAACTACTGCTTTTTACAATGAAACTTAAATTATATAATATTAAAAAATTAACTCAATTTCGTGAACTTTTCCCGTACGTATTTCATAATCAGGTCTGCCAACCACTACAATTTTTGTAAAATTGATTGGATTGGTAGGCAAATATTAACAAAGCTTTCAGAATCTCTGGCAATTTGCCAAATTGTTTAAAAGCATCGCCACGAGAGAGCTGGCACAAAATGAACTTCTAATTCACTGATATGTTGTGGAATATTTAGTGGTGTGGAAAATAATGCATTGAAACATTGTATGTATATCTATAACAGTTTTCCTAGAAGCTTTATTTTGAGGAAATTCGTCTTCTAAAATGCTTTAAAACGGGGACATTCTAAATCATTTTTCAATAATAACGCAAGGCGCGATATGGAACCTTAATATTGACCTATAATATTTTAATTGCACCACGTATTATATTCACATGGAATAGTGTACCCTACCAAAGGAATTAATTCCGAGCAATTAATTAATTCCAGAACTTAGCTATCACTAGAACAATTTTTACAAAAAGAAAGTTGAAAGCCCAGCATTATATTTTAGGGAACAGGCTGAGTCATCTCAGTTTGACTCAGTTAACTGTTTTTTTTTCTTCCTTAGACTATTAAATAAACTTTTTGTTACTCTTGAACCATTTTAATAACCTTCCAAAAAATACACAACAAACAATAGAAATTTTCCAAAACATTGTTCACACACAGCTAGTATAGAAGTGTTTCCATATTTCTGCCCAATCTCTGCACGGGCACTGACGTTTTTTCTGTTCGTTATCAATACCCAAAATATTTTTGTTAAAAAAAGTACTTTATTTTTTTTCCAGTTACATATCTTCAATTAAATATCAAAAATCGTTTGTATATACAATAATGAATACAGTGTCATAGGTATCTATTGCTTTATTTGTCATATGCATGCATTATTAATTGTTTGCTAGCAATACTACTTTAATTTTTTGCACGTAAATGCTTTTGCATTTCTAGAAAAAGAAATTTAAACAGTTTTATTTTACAACCGTCGTTGAACAGCCGACCCAATTTTTGAGTTTACGACTGCTTAAGTTCAACTCCGTAACTTTGTAATTTTGAACCAATCCAGAAGGTAAGGAAACTCCTGGATTAGTACCCCCAAAGGTATGATTTGTTATGGGGACATGAAGGATTTTGTGACTCGACAAATTCAACGTGCCTCAGTTACCATTTACTACACGGGGAGTCTTCGGCCGTTGAAGATCGAACCCATTACCTCTTTGACATGCACCCAGTGTCCTACCAACCAGGCTATCCAACACCTCCTAGAAGTAGTAAGGCCTCAGCACGGATCAATTTAGTAGTCCGATGTGACGAAGTTAACTGCGCAGTAGACGAAAAATAAGAAAGATGTTATTACGTTAGGGGTAATAAGCTGCGCAGTGGTTGAAAATACAAAATATGTCATTACGTTTGGACTACTAAGGGATAGTTATGGTAACCCGTGCTGAGGCCTGTTCTTTCTAGGAGGTGATGGGCTATCCCGGCCCCTTTATCACAATTAGCAAAATTTCAGGATATTATAATTGAGCGGATTACTGTCCTCATATGCTGGTTTGGCTAATTTCGGCGCCATTTTGAAATCTTCACTGGGACTGAACTGTGGCGTTTTATAAGAATTTTTGTATCCAAAACTTTAAATCAAATGAACAAAAACTTTAGTTAAAATGAAAAAAAAAATGCATTAAAACATTAACTTATCTACCACTAGAGTAAATGTTTGCAAAAAGCGTAAAATGTATGCAGCCCTGTTAATTAATTGCTTCTCCTCCACTGTTGGAAAGAAATATTTTGATACGAATCTCAAATGTTTGCGAGCATGAAAATAGCATCGTCCTATTTGTTTACTTTGGTACAAAATTTTGCAATTCAAATGACGGGCACAGGTGAAGCTAGGGTCAACATGCGGCGGATGACATCACAATGCGGGTTCGCAATTAGAGAAAGTGTGTCAACCCTGATGATATCGATTGCAATTGGAAAATATATTTCATGCTGACAACGCAAATTGAAATCTCGACGCAGGATGCAGAATGCATTGAAATTCCTAACAGCAACTAAGTAGTAATTAAAATGCGCGGGGACATGACCTGTATGCTAAAAGGCTTTCACTTTAAAAAGCGCTTAGTTGCAAACTCTATGTTGGTCAACGCCCTTCATGTATTGTTTTTTTTAATTCTTTTTTTACACTCAAATTACTGGAGTAATATTGTTGGGGATCTGCTGTCCTTAGAAATAGTTGTTCTATTCTTTAATTTATTAATGTCTAGTCACTAATTTACGGTCCTTTAACGAATCGCTCTCTTTTTTTGGAGAGTATGGATGTATGGACGCTCTTGGATGTACAGTACAGGGCCCGTTATCCGGAAATCGGAAAACCAAAAATCCGGAACGAAAATCAATAAATTATCCCGCAATTTTTAAAAATTTTTTTTTTCCTCATAAGATTTTAGGATTTTTCTTTCTTTTTTGAAAGATGTTTACCTTACCATAATTTCGGAAATAATCATTAGCGTATATACTTCATCGTTTTTTCTTCTTTTTAAGATTATTTCCCAATAATTTTTTTTTATAGTTGGGTTTAACAATAAAAAAACGGCCTTTTGTAGCGATTCAGAAAACCGGAAAAATCAGTTATCCGGAATAGCGATGGTCCCGATCGTTCTGGATAATCGGTTTCTTACTGTATTTGGTCGCAATTATAATGCACCCTTTTATTTCTTTCAAATTATGTTACCTGAACTGCTTTTAACTTAAATAAAATTTTCATATAATTAACTTTCATCTATAAACTATCTTGTTTCTGCAAAATACATCATGATGACACCCTTGCATTACCAGAGTTTTCTTTTTTTCAAAAAGGAAACCTCCTTTTTAAAAAAAACGCTACATATAAATGACCTAGCTGATTCCTAACCCAAAAGTGTTTCTGATTTATACCTATTTACACATCTAGGTAAAAGTACATTTTTTGACTTATTTTTTTCAAAACATCCTTATTTCTGAACTATTATATCTATGTATTTAGTTTCGACTTAATTTCATTCAGGGTAAAATAATAAATAACACCTAATATAAGAAATAATAAAGTTGTCTAGATAGCAGCTAGGTAGATTTCTCAGATACATAAATAAATAAAAATAAATGTTGACTCTTATAAATAAGCACTTAAAACATATGAACTTTAAATGCAACAGACAAGGCTTTCATTTAATTTTATTTAACGTGAAAAAATATAAACAAAAAACAATACCTTACGAGTCTGGATAGCAAAGTCTGCTGCGTAAACAGGTGTACGTCAAAAATGTTTCCTTTTATATTTGAAATTTTTACAATTTCTAAGTTAGCTCTATCGATTTTTTTCGGTTTCTATTCGATTCCGATTTCTTATTATTTGATTTCTTATAATTTTTGGACTTCTTAAATTCTTATAATTTCTAGGTTACCAGCTCTACCGACTTACTTTCGGTCCTATTCGATTCCAATTTCTAATAATTTTTTTAAATTCTTATAATTTCTAAGTTACTAGTTCTGTCGACTTTCTTTCAATCTTACTTAATTCCGATTTCTTATAATTTTCTGATTTCTTAAATTCTTATCATGTTCATTTCTAAGTTACCAGTTCCATCGACTTTCTCTCGGTCTTACTCAATTCCAATTTCTTATAATTTTCTGATTTCTTAAATTCTTATCATTTCTAAGTTACCAGTTCCATCGACTTTCTCTCGGTCTTATTCAATTCCAATTTCTTATAATTTTCTGATTTCTTAAATTTAAAGAGAGAGAGTTACTGTATATTACAGTATTTAAACTGTTCACTTACTTGAAACATGTATTGTAACAATGTTTTTTTTCCTTTCTTGCGCAGCTCAAAGTTGTAACAATGGTGTTGGAAAACTCATGTTTGAAAGGGTTGCTGATTACAAACTATCCGGTACTGGAAATAGTTTCGGAGGAACTAGAAGAGCCGAAGTAGTAAGTACTATCGATATATATATATTTAGTATATCGATATTATATCGTATATCGATATTAGTATATCGATATTCTTCAAAGAAAATACTGAATACATTTATTAAGTATTTCCTTACAACAAGGCTGGTTAAAGACATTTAAGACTGGTAAAAGACCCGATAAAACTGTGGAAGCTATCCAATTATTAGACATTTATGTTTTGTAGCAGTTTTCTTGATTTAGAAGTTAGAAATATGGTCCAAAATCCCAAGAACATTGACTTAAGTGTCTGCTATTGTTTCAAAACTACTTTATTTTTGTTTGTTTGTTTGCTGTTGAGGCAAAAATCCCAAGAACATTGGCTTAAGGGGAAGTTATTTTTTCAAAACTATATTTTGATTAAAATGATAGGCTCAAATTCCAAGAACAGTGACTTAAGAGAACGTTATTGTTTCAAAACTATTTTTAGTTTTATTTTTGCTTGTTTGTTTTCTGTTAAGCTGTTAATGCAAAAATCCCAAGAACATTGGTTTAAGGGGAAGTTATTTTTTCAAAACTATATTTTGATTAAAATGATAGGCTCAAATTCCAAGAACAGTGACTTAAGGGAACATTATTGTTTCAAAACTATTTTTAGTTTTATTTTTGTTTGTTTGTTTGTTTTCTGTTAAGGCAAAAATCCCAAGAACATTGGTTTAAGGGGAAGTTATTTTTTCAAAACTATATTTTGATTAAAATGACAGGCTCAAATTCCATGAACAGTGACTTAAGGGAAAGTTATTGTTTCAAAACTATTTTATTTTTATCTATTTGCTTGTTTGTTTTCTGTTAAACTGTTAAGGCAAAAATCCCAAAAACATTGGTTTAAGGGAATATTATTGTTTCAAAACTATATTTTAATTAAGATGATAGGCTCAAATTCCGAGAACAGTGACTTAAAGGAATGTTATTCTTTCAAAACTATGTTTTAGTTAAGCTGTTCAGCTCAAAATCAAAACTTAGAGAAAAGCTATTATTCAGAATGTTTTACTTTTTTTCAACATATATATATAATATATATATATATATATATATATATATGNAGCTTTATATATATATATATATATATATTCTTCTCGCTAAAATATTAAATTCTAACAAAATTTGCATTTTTTTACACCGATATATTGTTTTCAAAAACATTTTTTTACAAGCTGTATATATATATATTTATCTTTCTAGATCACAAGAAAAGATCTTCCGATTAGGGTTTTATCTGAATGCATAAGAAGGTGCGCAGAAGATCGCACCACAACTCAACATGTGCCACAATGTAGATCATTTGATTTCCTACCAGGTAAAAGGATATCACCAGTTCCAACCCATGAGGGAAATGATATAGGTCCTGGTAGGACAAACATAGTCGCTGAGTACGAAGACTCCAGTTGTTATCTTTATTATGACCAAGCATCACCAGATGGTACCGAAACATTAGTACGACAACAGGATGTCTGGCATTTTAATGAAATTTGCATTACATGTAAGTTAAATTTATCACCCCATACATTGTATCATTTTTAAGTTACATTTGTTATTCATTCCCTTTTGGCGTAATTCGTTTGAAAATCACGATTTTTTTTTTTATAAAATGTTTAATTTTTATAGCACTCTATATTGATTTATCCTACAAGGATGTGTTATGTAGAAAATCAAAAAAAGCTAAAAATATATATCCAAACTTTTTATGTACAAAAAAATACCTGAAATTTGAGCAAGAAAGAAAGTACAGGGTTATTCATAATTCCCTCCGCCTGTAAACGCCATTTTTCTTAACTGCAACTGGCTTCAGTGGTGCATGCTACTGCCATCTACCGGCAACTGCTTAAATCAAAGAATACTTTCGGAATAATTTCATATGTTCTTTTTTGTCATATTCGTCTTCGTTTTTTTACTATAACGCTTTGAAACACCGGAGGGAATTATGAATAAACCTGTATATGTAGGAAGCATTCATCCACAGAATGTTGACAACGTTTTAATAAAAATATCTATGACAGATTTCATTTATTTGTTTAAATTGTGTCAACATGAATCTCAATGTGTGATTTTCCAATCACGCGAATACGACCCTCGACATTTGATTTAAAAAATCGCGTGAATACGGATTTCGATGCATAAATTTTAAATCACTTGTACACGAATTATAACAGTGGCTTTTAAATCGCGTGAATACAAAATGCGATATTTGATATAAAATCGTAAAAATGCGAAACACCATCTTAAACCGCTTTAATAGTTATTAAATTATGTGTAGATAATTTTAAATCGAAATAGTAGGAAATTTTAAATTAGTAGGAAAAGGCTTAAAAATGAATCTTTTTTTCCCCTCCGTAAATCAAACATGACAAACTTTCATCAAAGAGGCAGATTTTTTTTTCTTTTTTAGTAATAGTAAAAATAATTTCCGCAAAGATGGCAAATTTTCCTCAAACGGAATACAATGTGTCCAACTTTTTTGCTGAATATTTTATACAGAGGTAGAGATTCAAAAACTAAGGTTTTAAAATCAGATTTTTTGATAACTTCGCCATAATACTTCAAAACATAAATATTGCTACCAGAGCCGCGATGGCTCAGGGATAGGGCGTTCGCTTTCCAATGAGGTGAACCAGGTTCGAAACCAACGATGGCTGGTCGATACGAATCCGCATCCGGCTTGCACCGACCACAGTGCTGACGTGAACTATCCTGAGTGGTAGACGGATCATGGGTTAGAGTCCCCTTCCCGTCTTGTTAACCGTGAGAGGATTTCGTGGTATTCCTCTCCATTTAATGTAAATGCGGGTCAGTTCCATCAAAAAGTCCTCCACGAAGTCAAATTTCTCCCAATACTTGATCCAGGAGTTCTCTTGTCTTCTGGATCGGATTCAAAGTTGCAAGGCTACGGAGTTGAACTTTTGTAGTCATAAACCCAAAAAGTTGGGTCAGCTGTCCAACGACTGTTATAAAATAAAATTAAAAAAACTAATTAAAATATGACTCTCTTCATATGGTGCAACTTTAATTTTGAAAGGAATTTCGTTAAAAGCCTAATAATTTTAACACACTGTATCCGATAATTAAAACAAAGCCTTTCGTCGCCAAACCGGCGACCTTTTTTTTAAAATTTGATTTCTCAGGAATTATATTATCTATTTCGCTTGCATTTTGTGGTCTGCCGTGTAGATTTGCCCTCTTTAAAATGATGTAAGAAATTGTCTACCTTGCAGTTCAATTCATTTACTATTATTAAATAAATTAATAAAAAATAGTAAGTAGTAAAATAAGAGTTCCCTTGCCTTTTGAATTGGGTTAAAAATTAAAAGTGTACGGAGATGAACATTAGTAGTCGTAACCCCCCCCCCAAATTGGGTCAGCTGTACAACGACGGTTATTAAAAAAAGAAAAAACATAGCATAGGTACTACTAGAAAAAGTTTTACAAAAAGCGTTCGAAAATTGGCAACCTTGGGAATATTATGCCGGTCATGCATCCATTGTATACTGCCAATATTTCTAACTCTAATTAAGAATTAGCTTTCACATTTAAATAAATAACAAGTATCGTGTTTTTCGCAGCTAGCAAAGTGAGCACAGAATGCAGTAATCGACTGTACGTAATGGAGCGAACCCCGGGCTTCCGGTTTGAAGGAGGTAATGGAGACAGAGAGATATTTGCAGTGAATAGAACAGACTGTGAGAGCAAATGCATCAACGAAGAGAGTTTCAAGTGCCGCTCATGCAGTTTTGATAGAGCAGGATCAATATGCAGATTGAGCAGAGAGACGAGAGCAATGAATCCCGGAGGATTTACCTCTGATGCCAACAGCGATTACATGGAGAATCTCTGTCTATCAGGTAAGTAAACACCCTGCAATCAGGGACCGATCAACACAAAATCAGGCCCAAGGCCCACCAAATTCTCCGTGGCCCCTTACAAAGTATTTTGAAATTAAATTACTGGAGTTCGCGTAATATTTTAAGTAATTAGTCCTAACAATAGAAAAGAATCTTTGAACTGCATGATTCAAGATAAACATTCTAAGAAATTTTGAAAGCAGGCAATTGAAGATTATTTTTCTAAGATAAAGTTTACGTATCTATAAATTAGAGCAGAATATAAAACAACGAAACAATGTTAGATCAAAATAAAAATAGTTTGGGGACCACAAACAATTGAAATCAGTGATTTTTGAAAAAAATCACTGATTAGCTGAATTACCTTTTTATTGTAGGCTGTAATTATTTTTTATTTAGTACTTAAACCAACACAAAGCTATTCCACCTTTCATTAGACTTTTTAAAATTTTTTGAAGCCCCTCAGAAATTGTGGGCCCTAGGCCCTTGCCTACTGGGCCTAGGCGATAATCAGGCCCGGCCTGTAATAGTTCCATACCCTGAAAGCGTGTAACCTTGCGGCAACCTTGCTTCGGTATTTTTTTTTATTGCCACGAAAATGTTAGTACTAAAAATCCTTTTTGCAATAAAGCAAAAATATTGTAGTTTCAAACCTTTCCTCCATTACATAAGCAATTAAATTTATTGTTTTAGTTTTATGTACATACTTACATTTAATAACTTAAATTTTTTGATTTAATTTTTTAACTTTAATTTTGAAATTTTATCCTCAAGCATTAAATATTTTTTAATAATTAATGTTCGATTGTTTTCAATAATTATGTATTTTGCGAGGTTTGCATAGTTAAAATTGTTTTGAAACTGAGATATAATGGGGCAATAAAACTCATAAGAAATATATTTTTTGAAATTTATTTCTTTTTTCGAAATTATTCATCATTGTATATAAATAGACAATAATATAACAACATGCACATTTGTTCCAACCTTAAGTGCAATTTAACATTTGAAATATTTATATTCTTTTACGTCGTTAAGACCTGAAGAGTAGGCATTCAGAACGGTTGTGGCGTAACTACCACTATAATTATTAAGCTTCAATTTTTAAGTATATAAATCATGCTAAATTTATCCATCTATGAGTTTCTTATTAATAGGTTAATGTTGACATTGTCTTCTAGTCAGCACAATGTAATATTTTTTGCTAAATTTCTTACCTCAGTAGTGAAGAGGTTATTAACAATTAAACGATACTTATTTTAATGCGAATTTTTATTAAAATTCATAAATTTATTTTATTTCCTGTGTTTAAATACATCTTCGATAAAAGTCAGAAGAATTTCGCAAAACATTACCTTGTCTTAAGAGTTGGCCAACCAGTGCAAAACGTTCATTCGCGTCCTTTAAAGTTTGAATGACATCAGCGAGTACAAGATTCTGATCAGTGGTTACGTCATTTAGAAACTTCTGATTATAATTAGATCTTATCTTCCATTAAATATTGACAATGTCAACCTTTTTTTATTATAGCGTTGCCCACCCCAAAATGAGTTAACCGAGCTCAAATGTTTTAAATACTACTAAATTATAATTCTATTTTTGAAGTGGTAGACACACTACACTAATCTTTCGGCAATATAATGAAAAGAGTTATGTGAAGAATAAGCATTTATAGAATAGTGCATTAATATTTCATATCGCGCTTTTCAAATCAAATAAAGTAACTAATTTCTTTAATAAAGAAATATATTTTCCATTTTCAACGTTTATAGCGGTTCTTTAAAGATTTCATTTCGAAGTAAACCATAATTAAGTTTACTCTATTCTTTTTCAGCTTATGAATAAACATCTAAAACAAATTCATAACTATAGAACTAAGACTGCAAATTTCACTGTCAAAACCTAATTTAAAATTATTAATGATAAAACGATGAAAAATCTTCATTCCTTTCTCTAGTTTAATATTTTTTTAATGCTTTATTTTGGTTATTTTATGTTCAAAATTACTTTAATAAACTAATATATTAAATCCGGTATCTGTATTGCCGATAAAACTCAGCACCATTGTTTAGAATAGAAACACATGCCGGTTGTTCCATAACACTGTCGTTATTCTAACAGTGACAATCGAATTGTCACTCCTTTGAAAACCAAAATTCCATGAATTGATCACGAATGTTGCAATAAATATATTATAATTTAAAATTTTTTATATTTAAAAGCGGTAGTTAATAAGATTTGTTTTAGTTATTTTTTCTAATAAGTCAGGGTTGCTACAACTGACAGAAGTTTAATAAGTGATGGAGAAAGATTTAACACGTTAAATGCCACGCTAATTTTACATGGCTTGTTCGTCTGGCCACATGGTAAATAAATGCAAACTAAATTTGTAAATATAGATAGATTTTGTTAATTTACGAGAAACTTAGCAAACATTAGATTTTGTTAATTTACGAAAAACTTAGCAAACATTGCTGAAAAAAAGTGATGAATTATATATACCTACGAATTGTTTAAAAATAGTGGTGAGTAAAAATCTGCTAAATTTAATTGATTAAACTAAGAATCACCATTAATAAACTACCACTTGAAAATATTTATTCGCTGTCCGGAGCAAGTTGGCACCTCTGTGTATATAAATAAAACCACTTTTGTGTGTTCTATATCGCATTAATTTCTTCAAACCATTTTAGTAACGATAATTATATTAAAAAAAATTAAAAATTTACTCGTATTATGTGTTTCTAATAATCTTGGCTTCGCCGATCACCGGTGACCCCCCATTGCAATGAACGTGTTAACTTGTGGTTATAAAATACAGCATTAGACACCGGTGTCCATTTTCGAATTAATGGTTAAATTTTGCAAACTTGGCTCACTTCCCAGCAATAATTTTTTTTTTAAATTTGCACCTATGTGCAGTTATTTAGATTTAATAAAATTTTGAATACGAAGGAAAAAATCAAATTACTTATTTCTGGATTTGATATTTTTAAATAAATATAATTTCGAGAATCTAAAAGAGTTTTTTAGTAACTATTAGATTGTTTTTCGTAATTAAGAAATTCCGAGTTATATATTTAACTGTCAGAAAAAAAGGTGTCCAAAGGGCTAAATGAAATGAAATTCTTAAGTTCTTTAAAAGAAAGTCCTTCCCACTTAATCCACCCTGTATAACGTAATTTATATCTTGAAGAGAGGTGAGGAAATAAAACCTATTTCATACCATCCAATATTTGAAATAATTTATAAATTAATATTATAAATATTTTTTCTATTTATAATCATATATATAATTATATGAATAATATTTCATATCTGTAATATCTCTATATATATTTCTCTTACACGGCGACAAAAAAAGCCTCATTACAACTCCCCGAATGGCAACGCTAGAAAATCGACCAATGATTGCCGCTAAAAATGTCAAAAATGGCCAAATCTAGTTGAGGTGGCTCAAAATATAGCGGTTTTAAAAATGAAAACGGAAATAACCAGAGTGTAAAATATTATGTGCTTATGTGCATGATATTTTTTGTTAAATAAACGAGAAGAGTTTTGTGGTTGCTATGGTGACTAATTAGAATATAAATTGATTTTTTGAGTGAATGTGAGATTTGTTTTTTGGAACTGCGATGCTGTAATTTTATGGTTTAGTTAATAAATCTTCCTTTTATACTAAACGTGATAGTAGTTTCCTCAATTATTTGATTCGAAGTCCTTTAAGCTTTATTTGAAGTCAGTTTATTTTGTATTTTTTGACAAGAGAGAACATTCTCACCAAATGAGATTTCTTCCGAAATTCAATGTTTTGTTCATGCAAATTTTTCCATTGCAATTCACTTATTTCAATTTTTAATAGATTTCATTATAGCCAAAATTTTAACCTTTTCAAAGAGATATCAGTTTTAGAAATTTTATCTTAAGATTTTATACTATAGCACATTTCTAATAGGTATTACAAATTACATGTCATTTATTTGAATTCAAATTTATTTTAACGACTTAGTATTTACTAAAAAGATGTAATTTAAAAAAAAATTGTCATATGGATTTGAATGATTGTTTTGAATTCTTAGAATTTTGCGCATTTGCAATGTACCTAAGTTTATAGCGAGCAAGGCAAGCTTGGTTTGCGAAGCAAACCATATAAGATTGCGCTGCAATTTTCGGGGGTTGGCGAACGTTAGCGAGCAGGGGGCGCAGTCCACTAGTGTGTAATATTATGCTATAAATATTTCTTCAAATTAACATGAACTAAAGCAGAAAATTTTAAAGAAGAATGAAATTGTCTTGAAACTTTTGGCAGGGTTTGGAATTCGTTCGTTCGTTGTAGTGGAACTGGGCCCATTCATCATGAAATTTGACTAAGAAGCACACAGGAAAAAAATTAAGTTTGGGGAGCAAAATGGAGTTCGAGCAGACTTCGAAAGCATGACGGAATCTGATTTTTATTTTTGTTTTAATTATAAGTGGCGGGAAAAATTCTTATAATTCTGATTTATCAAAATGTTAGCATATATGACATTTGCTGCGGCTAGGGAAATATTTTCTAAGAGTGCGGACATTCTGTAAAAGTTGAAAAATATGCCATATCATAATGTTTTTCTGATATTCTAATAAATATTTTGAAATAAATAAAAAAAAATCTATTGTTGTAGGGCGAAATTAACAGTCAGCACCGGCCACCAGGCGACTAATTTGTCTTAAAGCCGCTACCAGGTCACCAATTTTCTCACAGGATTTCATTATTTATTTTTCAATAATGGCTAATGGCTTTTCAATAATGAGTCGGGATGGCTCAGGAGTAGAGCAGTAGCCTCCCAATGAGGAGATTCTGGTTCTGGTTCGACAGTTGGTACCAGGTTTGCTCCCGGCTCACACAATGCTGACATAAAATATCTTCAGTGGTGGACGGATCATTGGTTAGAATCCCTTTGCCATCAGGCTAATCAAGGACGGGCTTCGTGGTTTTCCTTTCCGAGTAACGCAAATGCAATATTAGTTCCATCAAAAAGTCCTCCACTTAAGCTATCTTGTTCTAAAGCTTTGACTGATTCGTTAGAGTTAAAATGTCGATAGGCTGAAGGCGATATAAAGCGAGAATTAAAATGAAGATAGAAAAGAAGAGGGATAGAAAAGGGAGGAGCGTACTCAAGCACGATCCTGGAGGTCATAGACCACACCAAAGGTGTCGTGTGTATTAGCACCCATAGTGTTAATGGCATTAAATAAAATAAATAAAAGTCTAAATTTTTTCCATTGACGATCTTGATGGTAACCATCAATAAGTTCAACATGAACCATTATATTTTTGATGGTAACCAGCATAAGTAACCATCATCCCAAAGAAGGAATTCGAACTGATTTATGATGGTCCAACATAAGAATAGCAACTTGTTTTGATGGTTTGTTCGTGTTGAACCATCAAAAATTTCCATCATAGTTTCTTAGAATTCAAATGTTGGAACGATCATGAACAACCATCTTCTAAATGTAGGAATTCTGGCTGATTTATGATGGTCCAACATAAGAATAGCAACTTGTTTTGATGGTTTGTTCGTGTTGAACCATCAAAAATTTCCATCATAGTTTCTTAGAATTCAAATGTTGGAACGATCATGAACAACCATCATCCCAATGTAGGAATTCTTGCTGATTTATGATGGTCCAACATAAAAAACAAACAAATTGTTTTTGTGTGGTATATTCCTGAGAACACACAATAATTCCCATTAAACCATCATGGATTGTTGTCCATGAGAATCCAACTTCCATTGATGGTTAACCATCATAGTATTAAAATAGCATTTTCCATCATTCCATGTTGGAAATTTGTTAGTATATCAAAAACCATGAACAGAAAATGTTTGATGATGGTGACCATCAAATGATGTCGGACCATCATGAATCGCACAGAAACCAACGTAAACCATCAAAACGTTTTGATGGGACTATCAAGGTACCTGGGTACTACTCAATATAATATTTAGCAAAAAGAGTAATAATTGGCAACCCTGCGCATGAGACAATACGCCAGACCCAAAACTGGTTTGCAAAATTTCGATTAAGACGCCGAAGATGCACTTAAGTTTATGTTGACAAAGACGCAATAAATGCATTAATTAGTGCAAGCTGGTGAATAACAACTCAGGAGATCGCTGAGATATTAAAGTTGTCGAATTCGATAGCTCACGCTGATTTGAAACGCCTAGGTTTATTCTTAAGGGTCGAAACATAGGTTCATCCTGTTCTTACGGAACGAATTTTTGTGCCGTCGCTTTAGACGTCTGTGATTTGCCCTCTCAAACGTCAAGAAATTAATAAAATTTTGAAGCGTATTATCACTGAGAACGAAAAAATTAGCTATCTACAAATTTTTTCGGGTCTCAGCAAAATTTTTTTTAGATGGTAATACCTTTGTTACCGTGAATAACCGAAATCAAGAGAATGTCCACTTTCACCGGTGAATGTCAACAATCACATAGTCGCTTTGATGAATGTCCAAAATATTTGTTATATCCGATTTTATATTAATTTATTCGTTGATATTATTACATTTATTCGACATCTTAAGATCTGCTGAGGATAGATTAGGAGAAACATCAGTGTTCGGAGTACCAGTTAAATGCAGACTAGTCAGTGGTACCTGGTACCTGACCTTAAAAAATCATCGATGCACGTCATGCCGGTCAAATGTATACCGGACAGTGGCACTTAAAGACCTAGTATATATTTCGGACATTTACCTAAGCGACTATGTGACATTCTCCGGTGGAAGTCGAAATTTCGGTCATTCACCGTAGCACCTTCAAGTCAAATAAAGAGATCAAAAATCACGTGGAACAGTTTCTTGGCCAGTAACAAACAAAACGTTTTTGAAATGACTTGCCGAACAACTGAATAAATAATTTCGTTAAAAACCTACTTTATTGCAGGATCAGATTTATGTTCAGCGACAGCGTTGATCCTTGAAGCAGGCAAAGAACTTGAAGGAGCTTATGAAAGAGATCTGTTTTCTGTCCGGGACTTCAAGGATTGTTCGGATAAATGCATTCATAGCTTAACAGAAAGGGGGTTCATGTGCAGGTCTTTCCTCTACTACGACAAGAGCAAAACATGCGTCCTTTATCCTGACGATCCTGTTGGAGATGCTGAAGGACCAGATGTCCAAAAACCTCTCAAATCAAGCAGTGGGGATCTGTATAGATTATTCTGTGGAACTTCTGACAGAGGTAATATCTTTTTTTAAAAAATTATAATACTATTTATTTGGCTTACTTTATGTTGAACTAACCAAAATTAACACATAAAAATGCATGAGGTGTGACTGATATATTCTCAAATATTTTAAAGCTACTAAATCTTGTATATTAAATGTTAATATCACGCATAATTACCTCGTTAAGAGAGCTGACCCTTTGCTAGTTTATACCTTTGAAAAGCCTCTCTTTTTATTCAGTCAAACTCCTGATAAAAAGAAAACTCCTTATGAAAGTGGGGCCCATGGCCGGCAAGCCATGCTTTAGGATAAACAGTTGATTCCAGATTTTCCTTGAAGAACAGCAGTGACACTTTTCCACCTTAAAACAGGCCACGACTGCTTGCCCGCGTATTTGTATCGGTTTGAGCTTTGTGATTCTCCTGTTTGTCCTTTGCATGGACAACATCAAATTTTTGATGCTGCTCATCTTGATTCGTGTTCTGCACTTGTGTTTTTAAATTGTAATGTTCAGAGATATTAGAAGGCCAGAGAACCAATGGCGTCATAGCCAAATCTTCTGGACATTTGTAATATTAAATAAAATTTCCTTTTTTAATTCATTAATAATTGGTTAGATCAGCTTTGCACTAACTTAGCTTTAGATACAACGATAACTTTAGATCAGCTTTGCGCAAACATAAAAATAATTAACTTTTGTCTATTTTAAACACAGCTCTAAAAAGAAAAATTTTGTTTGTTGATTAATAGTCACAGCAAGACGCTTCAAAAATATTATATTGCTATGAAATACTTCTAAATGAGGTGGCATTACTATTTGAATTCAATTATTTTTAATCTTCTAGTATTCTTTAACGCAACTCTACTCGTCATTCGATGCACGGAAATTTATATGAATTTTTGTTATTTTATGATAGCAGCAACAACAGTGGTTAAAATTCTTTATTAAATTTTCATATATGTATTGAATAATAAGCTTTGAGTGATTCATTCGATATGGCAGCTGTTATCTTATGGACAGAAATTTAACAAAGAATATTAGCAACCACGACCTTAAACTGATTTGCATGATCGATTCAATTGGTGATCGAAATGGGCTACAGGTGGCTTAGAGCAGAACTCTCTACCTATGGCAACACTTCGCATTACCCATTAGCTTGGGGAGAGTCATAGAAGAAGGAAGAACGTTAGTTTCTGTCTNTTCAATTGGCTATCGAAATGGGCTACAGGTGGCTTAGAGCAGAACTCTCTACCTATGGCAACACTTCGCATTACCCATTAGCTTGGGGAGAGTCATAGAAGAAGGAAGAACGTTAGTTTCTGTCTTGATTTTTCGAGTAGATTAAAATATTTTATGTTAGGAAACTATATGGAACTCAAAACTACATTAAACATAGTTCTAAAAGAAAGCATAATGGAAATTTAAAAATTTTTTTTTAACAATTAACTACGAAAAATATTAAGAAAAGGAAGAATATCGTAGTACATTCCTATAAAACTGAAACGAGCAGGAGGAAAGGGGAAGGGTCAAAGCAGAGGGCGTATTCAAGCGTAGCGATCGCCTATATTTAGGATTAGTAGCTAATATTAAATTCCGATACTTAAAAAAATTCATATATTCGTATGGGACAGACATTTAATCATTTCAAACCACTTCATAAATAAAACTTATTCTAATTTCTCTTTCGCACTCTGCTTGCTTTCTTATATTTCTTGAAGCACTTTATGAATCAGCCATATCGAAATTTGTGGTGTTCTTGTATTTTGGTGCTTATTCACCTTCTGAGGAACCTTCCGTTTTCTCTTGTCCAGATGCCCTGATCAACAACCTGACTTTTGAGTGCTATAGGCGGAAGCGCCTTGATGGACCACACCAGGCAGAAATCAAGTCCTATTCTTTCCAGGAGTGTCTGGACGAATGCATGCGTCGATATGGTCGCGACTGTCGGTCAGTGGAGTACAGTTCGAGATATCAGTCCTGTCGATTCAGCAGCTATGAAGGAAGCAACCGAGCACCGAGCCTCGTCGACGATGACTTCTATGATTATTACGAATTCAAGTGGTGTACGTAAGATTATAGTATCTAATTTCGTCGATTTATTTGATTTAAATGCGTCTTGCTGTGATATCGAGTCAAATTATTTTCGTTATTCAAGATTTATAATGAATTCAAGTGAAATACGTAAGATTATAGTATCTAATTTCGTCGATTTGTTTGATTTAAATGCGTCTTGCTGTGATATCGAGTCAAATTATTTTCGTTATTCAAGATTTATTATGAATTCAAGTGGAGTATGTAAGATTATAGTATCTAATTTCTTCGATTTATTTGATTTAAATGCGTCTTGCTGTGATATCGGGTCAAATTATTTTCGTTATTCAAGATTTATTATGAATTCAAGTGGTGTACGTAAGATTATAGTATCTAATTTCGTCGATTTATTTGATATAAACGCGTCTAGTTGTGATATCAGGTTAAATTATGTTCGTTTCAGTTTTTTCAATGATGACTTATTATGAATTCAAGTGGTGTACGTAAGATTATAGTATCAAATTTCGTCGGTTGATTTAATATAAAAGCGTCTTGCTGTTATATCGGACAAAATTATTTTCATTTCAGTTTTTTCAGCGATGACTTCTATGATTATTATGAATTCAAGTGGTGCACGTTAAGTTATATTATCTAATTTCGCCGATTAATTTAATACAAATGCGTCTTGCTGTGATAACCGGCAAAATTATTTTCATTTCAATATAAAAATATTCACGTGTTGTACTTAAGATTAGGGTTTCATCGATTAATTTGATACAATAACATCTTATTGCAACTACAGGCAAAATTATTTTCGTCTTGTATTCTAAAGGTTATGAACTATCTCACTTAAAATCTGGTATTGCGAATTCAAGTGGTGGTACACGTTGGATTAAAGTATCAAATTTCGTCGATTAATTTGATACAATTAAGTCATGCTGTGATATGAAGGCAAATTATTTTCGTGTTTATTTCTGAAAGGAAGTGGTTAGAAACTGTTTCATTTAAAGTTTGTAACTAAAAGAACTTTTAAAAAAGTATTTCAAGTGATATCCATAAGATATTATAAGATTTTCGGCGATTAAATTGATTCAAACGATTTTTAATATGATATCAAGCATGATTTATTTCGTTCTAAATTCTAATGGGAAAGAAATATATTAGAATGCTAAAAAGGATAGAAGTAGTCTGATTTTTGTGCCTTACTGTTCTGAAAAATCTTAGATAACAAAATATTAGAAGTTGTGCTTGTGCGTCGTGGTATATAGTGGTCAATCGGACTACCTTTAAAGGCTACCTATGAAGCAGCCTTTAAAGGTAGTCCGATCTGAAAACAAGCTCAGGAGAGGTAGGGCTCTCAGTATTATTGTGCAAAGTAAAATGAATCCATTTAAATTCTGGAAAAAATTATTATAAATTGTCTAATTGTCTGTAACTACTCTAAATAATAAATAATATAAAGATAAATAATAATAATATACAGATAAATAATAAATAAATGTAAATACGTAACTACTGCACCTATGCATGTTTATATTCTACCAAATTATAAAATTATTTTTGCATTCTTTTCAATTTATATTTGTTTATCGCTTGGAAAAAGCATTTCTAAAACCACCAAAAGTTGGCACATATTTAACACCTTATTTGTGTTAAAGAACCACGTTGGAACATGGCCTATCTTCATGCTTATCCTAAATGCATTTGGTAAAAATTAAAAAGTATAATCCATTTCGTCCTAAAGATGTCAAAAGTTTCTTAGAATTAGATTTATTTTTAAAATTAAAAATCAAATTTTCATATATTTCTTCTCCAAGAATCAAATCTTTGAACTTCGGATACAGATATGCTTATTTAAATTTAATAAAATCCAAGTAAAGTACTGAGAAACGTAATGAAGAGTTACTTTTCATATTACTATTACTATCTCTACTTTAATTTTTTTCAGCTACGTCCTGGATCCTACGAGATCAGGTCTGAATTCCGCTCAACCGGGACGCTATTTTACAATCCAACGGCCTTTGACTACACGCTCTCTTTTTTTTTGAGGTTTTCCTCTTAGCTGTAGTTGGTCGCAATTTAAGTTGGTAACATGAACTAAAACAAATATATATATATATCGAGTCAAATTATTTTCGTTATTCAAGATTTATTATGAATTCAAGTGGAGTACGTAAGATTATAGTATCTAATTTCGTCGATTTATTTGATNTATATATATAAGAAAATGCCGAACAAGAGGGCGAGTTGTTAAAGGCCATTGGATTAGATAATCGCAAATGGGACTGTTCCTTAAGGTGTTAAAATATTATTTTCAATTTTTTCTCCTTTTTCTTTATTTACTTTATTATTTCTTCCTAACAGTTCGTGGAGTTGGAGGAAATTCTGCTAGTGGTAGTTTTGGTACAAGAGGAGGACCCTGGTCCGGAAATATGGGTGGCATGGCAGGAATGGGAGGAGGTGGCATGGCAGGAATGGGCGGAGGTGGCATGGCAGGAATGGGTGGAGGTGGAATGAATGGAGGTATGGGTGGAGGTGGAGCAAGCTGGCCAAGTAGTGGAGGAAGCGCAGGAGGATCTGGGATGCCCTGGAGTAGTGGAGGAAGTGGTAAGCAGTATTGATCTTGAAAATGTAACGAATTTACGACAATTGAGCCTATGTAAAAATTGTTGTAAAATTTTTCAAATTTATTCTAACATATTACGATTGATTCTAACATATTCCAAGTAAAAAAAATTCAAATTTAAGACTATTGATTTTAACATATTCTATGCGAAACATTTTCAATATCACTTCACATTAAGTGCGATTGATTAAAATATATTCTTTATAAAAATTCTTGAGAAACTCTCTTATGATGATTGATTTTAACATATTCTATGCAAAAATTCTTCACTATCTCTTCACGTTTAATGAGAGATTGAAATCTATTCTTCGTAAAAAATTCTTGAGAAAATATCTTATGATGATTGATTTTTACATATTCCGTGTTAAAAAAATTGTTCACATTTGATTCCATAGATTAAATCTATTCTTTGTAAAAATTCTTGGGAAACTCTCTTATGATGATTGATTTTAACATATTCTATGCATAAATTCTTCACTATCTTCTTCAAATTGATTTAAATATCGCTCATGGGCTGCAATAGTGGCACAACTCAAAAAACACGATTTTTGGACTAAGAACAGGTGTAAATATGAAAATACACATTCTTTCAGCTGCAATACTAGCACAACTCGTGATTCAACTTGAAGGTAATCTTCGTTCAAGCAAACGAAAGTATTTCTTATGCAGTTTCCTTAGGAATGAAAACTTCAAACCCACTTATCTCAAAACATGATTTTTTGAGTTGTGCCGCTACAGCATGCCCATGAGCGATACATTGTTTATTTTGATATAATTGATTTATATAAATTTCTTGAGAAAATTTTCAAATTTATGAAGATTGTTTTTAATAAATATTACATCAAAATTCTACATTGTATTTTGCATAGAATATAGAAAAGAAATCTTCAATGCGATAATTTTGCAAGTTAATTTTTGTCGGAAATCTTTCAAAAGAAGAAATTCTTTAACAAAATTAATTTGTGCAACAAAACTAATCAACGTATCTTATATTCGAACTGTTATATTTTGGCTGTTTGTTTGGATCAACTGAACAAAATCTGTATCAATAAAAAAGGGATTGTGGTTTTTAATGAGCATCACTTTTTCCAAATGTGGTGCGTCTACATGAAACTCTTCCTTAGTATTGTTTTTAAATAGATACTTAACACGATTTTGGAAATGTAGGTGGGGTTTTTGGGATTTACCATTCTGCAAAAGATTTGCAAAATTTATGCATTGAAAATCATATTGTTGTGTTTTTATATTATATTATACTAGTAATATTATATTTGGCTTTAAAATTTTGTTTAATTTGCTCTAATTGAATAAGATGTGTGTGTAATCCATTGCTTTTTTATGTGTATGTAAGAATTATAAATACAGTAGTTATTGTATTTAAAAAAATTTTTTTGAAAATAATAAAACCATTTGCTGAACTTTAATAATTATATAAAGAACGAAATTAAACAAGACAAAAAAATATCCATTTTTAGTTAATTTTTCTGAAATATATGTCACTGTTAAGGGGTTAATAATGCTAAGTGAGCTTTAATTATTACAGCTATGGGTGGTTCTATGGGAGCATCAATGGGAGGTGGCTCAATGAGTGGACAGTGGCCCAGTTCAGGAGGCAGTTCTGGCTCAAATCCTTGGCCGTCTGCAGGCAGTGGAGGTAGTATGTCTGGTGGAGGATGGGCGAGTGGCCCGCCAGGAGGATGGACTAGCGGAGGATGGACAAGTAGTGGTCTTTTTCCAAGTGCTGGTCTTCCACCACCGGATCCGATTCTACCACCGTGGGCTGGAACTCATTTTGGTTGGCCACCACTACCCCCTTTGATTGGTAAGAAATTTTTATTGCCATCAGTAAATTTTAAGAAATAAAAATAGTCAAACTCAACGTGGAAATCGTGTTAATTTTTAGCCGAAAATAAAAATGAAAGACACACTTGTTACTGTTCAAATGCCCACGTAAATATATGCATTTCGATTGATTACTAAAGAAGTTAAAAGCTAGGAGCACAACTTCATCCTTGACTTTCATAAGTTTCTGGAAGAGGTACAGACACATAATACATTTGCCAAAACTTTTTAATTCTTCAGTTTACCTTATTGTTTCACAATAACCCTTCAATTAATGCATTGTCTTACAGATAATAAATCTACAATTATCTCCAATGAATGCATTGTATTTCAGATAATAAATCTACAATTATCTCCAATGAGTACATTGTTTTAAAGATAATAAATCTACAATTATCTCCAATGAATACATTGTTTTACATTCAACAAACAATGGATACATTGTATTACAGATAATAAATCTACAATTATCTCTAATGAATACTTTGTATTACAGATAATAAATCTACAATTATCTTCAATGAGTACATTGTTTTACATTCAACAAACAATGGATACATTGTATTACAGATAATAAATCTACAATTATCTCTAATGAGTACATTGTTTTACAGATAATAAATTTACTACTTTCTCGCAATTGTATTTATTAAAATTATGTCGTAAATGAATACAAAGAAGCAAGTGACAGATTTTTGTCACTTACCATTTAACGTCTGGATGGTGGAACATCACTAAAGAATTGGATAATTGACAAAAATGTTTTAGATACAACTTGATCTGATTCGGTGTTACAACCGTTCGTATAAACTTCACGATTTCGTTTCATGTTGATACAACATATTAATGCTAAGAATTTTTTTTAAATCGTGCATACAATGTAATGATAATTTAAAGTAATTTGATATAGGGAGTCGAACTTAAACATCTTCGAGACGGGCGAGTCATATATACATTCTCAGGGTGTCGATAATCAGGGTAAGAAAGTTTAAACTGGTAGCCAAATTATTGTTATAGTGGTTTATTTGTAGGCGGGATAGTAATAGTTTGCTTTATTTAATTCACCACTACTTAGTTCGAATGAAAATTTGTACAGTTACAGTTTTAATACACAAGGACTGGACACGTTAGATTTAAGGTGAAAGCAAAAATTGGCTATGTCAAGTCAAATTAGCAATGCCCAAACTTAAGCTACCACCTCTTGTTATTTAGTATCCTGATTCTGACTCCGTACAAATACATTTATGACTCGCCTGTCCCGAAAAAGTTAACACATTACAATATTTAATGATTATTTATATTTATGGCAAGTTTCAATCGTGAAAGTCTTTAAAATAGTTCAATCCTAAATTCCTTTAAAGTAAGTTCAATCATAAAAGTCTTTAAAATAGCTCAATCATAAAAGTCTTTAAAATAATTCAATAATGAAAGTCTTTAAAATAGTTCAATCATAAAAGTCTTTAAAATAGCTCAATCATAAAATGTCTTTAAAATAGTTCAACATAAAAGTCTTTAAAATAGTTCTATCATAAAAGTCTTTATAATAATTCAATCATAAAAGTTTTAAAATAGTTCAATAATGAAAGTCTTTAAAATAGCTCAATCATAAAAAGTCTTTAAAATAGTTCAACATAAAAGTCTTTAAAATAGTTCTATCATGAAAATCTTTAAAATAGTTCAATCATAAAAGTCTATTTTAATGTATTTAGTTCATAATTTTTTCTTACCTTTCACAGGACCACATAGTGCCCATGGACCTCCATTTCCTCCACCACCTCCTCCCCCCTATCCACCACTTCCACCCCCTGAATTGTGTGGAAAATCTGGTGGAATCGGCACTTTCAAGAAAGTAGGGTATGGAATGAGATTGCGGGAGCATTTCGTCATCCGTGTCATCCGGGCAGAAAGTTTACCCGAATGTGAAAAAGCTTGCATGGAGGCAAGAGATTTTGCCTGCCTATCATTCAATTTCAGGTATGAGTAACTATGTATATGATGCTTGTAAAATATATTAAAAAAATGACAATGATGCTATGGTGTTTAAGTCGATTTTGCTGAAGCTTCTTACTAATCATTGGGTTAGAACTTTAATTGATTTTGCCGCTGTAAGGGAATCGACTTTTTACAAATAATTGTGTCAGAATCTAAATCAATTTTGCTTGGTAAGAGAATCGACTTTTATCATTGCGTTAAGACTCGAGTCAATTTTGCTGTGGTAAAAAAATCGACCTCTGTTCCTGTATTAAAAGCTGAATCGATTTTGCTGTGATGAAAGAATCTACTTCTTTCATTGTTGAAAACTGAGTCAATTTTCGCTGTGGCAAACCTTTCTTTTTGCTAAAACTTCGGTTGATTTTTCTGTGGTAAGAAACTTCTATCATTGTGTTAAAACCTGAGTCAATTTTGCTGCGGTATGAATAGTTTTCTATACCGCGTTAAAACCTGATTCTGTTTTACTGTGATATGAAAGAACTTGAATCATCATGTTAAAACCCGAGTTAATTTTGTGGGGTAAAATAATCTACTTGTGATGAAACTTCAGTTGATTTTTCTGTGGTAAGAAACTTCTATCATTGTGTTAAAACCTGAGTCAATTTTGCTGCGGTATGAATAGACTTCTATACCGTGTTAAAACCTGATTCTGTTTTACTGTGATATGAAAGAACTTGAATCATCATGTTAAAACCCGAGTTAATTTTGTGGGGTAAAATAATCTACTTGTGATGAAACTTCAGTTGATTTTTCTGTGGTAAGAAACTTCTATCATTGTGTTAAAACCTGAGTCAATTTTGCTGCGGTATGAATAGACTTCTATACCGTGTTAAAACCTGATTCTGTTTTACTGTGATATGAAAGAACTTGAATCATCATGTTAAAACCCGAGTTAATTTTGTGGGGTAAAATAATCTACTTGTGATGAAACTTCAGTTGATTTTTCTGTGGTAAGAAACTTCTATCATTGTGTTAAAACCTGAGTCAATTTTGCTGCGGTATGAATAGACTTCTATACCGTGTTAAAACCTGATTCTGTTTTACTGTGATATGAAAGAACTTGAATCATCATGTTAAAACCCGAGTTAATTTTGTGGGGTAAAATAATCTACTTGTGATGAAACTTCAGTTGATTTTTCTGTGGTAAGAAACTTCTATCATTGTGTTAAAACCTGAGTCAATTTTGCTGCGGTATGAATAGACTTCTATACCGTGTTAAAACCTGATTCTGTTTTACTGTGATATGAAAGAACTTGAATCATCATGTTAAAACCCGAGTTAATTTTGTGGGGTAAAATAATCTACTTGTGATGAAACTTCAGTTGATTTTTCTGTGGTAAGAAACTTCTATCATTGTGTTAAAACCTGAGTCAATTTTGCTGCGGTATGAATAGACTTCTATACCGTGTTAAAACCTGATTCTGTTTTACTGTGATATGAAAGAACTTGAATCATCATGTTAAAACCCGAGTTAATTTTGTGGGGTAAAATAATCTACTTGTGATGAAACTTCAGTTGATTTTTCTGTGGTAAGAAACTTCTATCATTGTGTTAAAACCTGAGTCAATTTTGCTGCGGTATGAATAGACTTCTATACCGTGTTAAAACCTGATTCTGTTTTACTGTGATATGAAAGAACTTGAATCATCATGTTAAAACCCGAGTTAATTTTGTGGGGTAAAATAATCTACTTGTGATGAAACTTCAGTTGATTTTTCTGTGGTAANAAATTTTAATTTTATTTTACTTTGCATGTCTTTTTTCTCTTCATTTTCATGCATTGTCATCCAATTCTGAACTGTGTGCTAAATTTGAAGTTTGTAGCTAGTCGGGAAGTTAGTTTAAAATCGATTACAAAATTCCACCCGGACAGACATACACGAAGGCAAGTTTATATAAACGTGGTAATAAAATGACAATGATGCTATGGTGTTTCAGTCGATTTTGCTGAAATTACTTACTAATCATTGGGTTAGAACTTTAATTGGTTTTGCAGCGGTAAAGGAATCGGCTTTTCACAAATAATTGTGTCAAAATCTAAATAAATTTTGCTTGGTAAGAGAATCGACTTTTATCATTGCGTTAAGACTCGAGTCAATTTTGCTGTGGTAAAAAAATCGACCTCTATCCCTGTATTAAAAGCTGAATCGATTTTGCTGTGATGAAAGAATCAACTTCTTTCATTGTTGAAAACTGAGTCAATTTTCGCTGTGGGGACATAATCAACCTTTCTTTTTGCTAAAACTTCAGTTGATTTTTCTGTGGTAAGAAACTTCTATCATTGTTCTAAAACCTGAGGCAATTTTGCTGCGGTATGAATAGACTTCTATACCGCGTTAAAACCTGATTCTGTTTTACTGTGGTATGAAAGAACTTCTATCATCATGTTAAAACCCGAGTTAATTTTGTGGGGTAAAATAATCTACTTGTGATGAAACTTGAGTCGATTTTGTATGGGGGTAAGAACGGACTTCTGTCATTGTGTTTAAACCTGAGTCAATTTTGTTGGGGTAAAAGAATCTACTTATTTTATTGTGTTAAAACCTGAATCGATTTTACTATAGAAAAAAATCGACTTCTTACTTATCATTATGTTAAAACTAAAGTCAATTTTACTGCTGTAAAAGAATAGACTTCCTGTACAGTTTTTTCGTTACAGTTAGAATTGATTTAGAAGTAAAAAAAAGTTGATTTGCACAATCGTATTCTGTGAGATATTATAAGCAATTGAATAATTCTCTTTATTCCTTTGACTAATAATGAAACTGATGCTAAATTAAACCGTTTATGCGATCAATATTTTGTGTATTTTAGATCATTTTTTCCTGATAATTGTGAAATGAGTGACCAAGACAGCCACTTGATTCAAGTTGGTAGTCCTTTATATTTTGAACAGAATACTCAGTTTGATTATTTCGAACGAGAACCGACTGGAGTTACACCAGGTTGCCTTGACGGTGAGTATAATGAATTAATGTAGTTGAAATATAAAAGGGTTTTTACAGTTTAGATTTTTTATCGAGTTTCATTCATGTAGATAACCCATGCCCGACACAACTTTTTATATTGATCTAAAATATACTTTTATGAAGAAAACAGGTAGGGTATATTTATGCTTAGATTTATCCTATGTTCTCTAGTTTCGGTCACCATTTAAACATAAAAATATCGAAGAATGAAATAATTTTACATTAAAAATAAAAGTGTTTATATTAGAAATTTAGATAGGTGCCAATTTGTACCAGCGTTAAGCAAATTTTTTCTTTGTGGTAGCAATATTTATGTGCTACCTCAAAGTGATATAAATATTGCTACCACAACTAATAAAGTTTTTTTTAAGACGTCAAAAAACTGCATATATTCGGCAGAATGTATACCAATGGATTTTTGGATACATGTTTTTATGATTTAACCCTTTGACGGTCAGGGAAATGAGCAGTTTTCGTTTCATTAATTCGCGCAGTATTACGTGCAAACAGTAGTCGAAAGTGGCATCTGTTTTCCACCTCCGTTCTTCCGAAAATGTCACCCTTCTGTGGCGATGCCAACTGCTCCGTCTTCTGGAATTGGTAGCAAATTATGTAGTAAATTTCTTTGGAGAAGGACAGTTACGCTTACTTTTTAATAAAGTAGCCAGTAGAATGTTGCTTTAATGTTGCATTTTACATGTTACTTATAGTTTTTGATATTTAGTGGTGAGAAAATTACTTAAAAGGAAAAATACTAAACGGAAAATAACTTGACTTTCGCTATCACTAGGAAATACTATTTCACAAAGCGGAACAAGTTGGCAACTCTGGATGCGGTAGATAGCTCACCTCACGCGTTTTAAAAAATTTCTTAAAGTATTCGTAGTATATAAATAATAGTTTTTACGTACTTTTTCTTTTTAACATAGTCAATGCAGAATAATAATGGCGAACGAGTTCAGCTCGTCAGTGCGCATTGGGGAAAAATTTCACCACGCGAGTAGTGCTCGTTACTATCAAAATCTTGCTCCCGAGCGGAACTCGTCTGCGCGCATTATGAGGCACGATTCGATTGCGAGCTGAACTCGTTCATAACCGTCAAAGGGTTAATAAGGTTTTCATATATGGCTGTTTTTCGAAGGTTCCGTCGTAATATGAAATGAGGCTTTTTTGTTAATAATATGCCTTTTTCATAACTGCTGTGAGTTTGAAACTATTACTCACGACTGTTAGATCAAGTTTAGCCTATCTAAAGATGGCGCTGTCTATGCTTATATTGAAAAGGGCGCAAAACGTCAATATGGAGAAAAGACACAGTTTTGTGAAAATTAAAAGCGTTTGTGGTGCCATTTTTTAATATTAAAAAACTTACTCCAATGCTGCATTAGATGGGCTTATAAAAATTTGGAGAAACTGAGAATACGGCAGTGATTTTGATAATTTGCATCTAGGTGGGAAAATGATGCCGAATTAGTGATTTTTAAAAAAAGTTTAATAACTTTTGAAATATTTAAGATGTTGGCCCGTTCTAAAGTTCAGATAATTCTTCATGGCAACTTTTTAAATTGCAGATTTACTTCAAGTGTAAAACACTTTAACTTTGGCTTATTTTTTTCCCCTGGCGACAGAGCTTCGAAAAACAGCGTTAAACATATAAATCTCGATTTTGAAAGTTAAATCTTAAATTATTTTACGAACCATGACAAATCATTGATTCAGACCCTTGTGTACTCAAGCTGTCTGATTAAGTCAATTATGCTTATAAATGTTGCCAGAATAGCTTAATTTTTAGGACATTTAATACCTCAAGCATTATTGTACTACCATTTGATAAAAACTATACCAAAATAAAGTCTAAATTCGATTCCGCTTGAAATGACATGCACAAAAATATCAAAGACAAAATCAACAAATAAACTTCAAGCTCTCATCATGTCCAAATCAAAATTAGATATTCAACCAAAGCGGACTAATTGAGGTTTCAATGATAAAACCAATACTCACACACGTATCCCCAGCATGGTGCTTAACTTTCCAAAACTTGAGTAACTTTCCAAAATGAAGTTTAGAGAAATATTACTAGAGCAGGATACGAAACAAAGACCTCTATAAAGATCTTAAAATAGAAAGATAGAAAGCACATCACCAAATTAAATCAGAAATTTTTTGACAAAGCTCTAAAATGGAGCCGCGATGGCTCAGGTGACAGAGCGTTCGCCTTCTAGTGAGGTGAACCGGGTTCGAATCCCAGCGAGGCTGGTCGATACGAATCCACATCCGGCTTGCACCAACACAGTGTTGACGTGAAATATCTTTAGTGGTAGACGGATCATGGGTTAGAGTCCCTTTGCCGTCAGGCTAACCGTGGGAGGTTCCCGTGGTCTTCATCTCCATGAAACGCAAATGCGGGTTAGTTCTATCAAAAAAAGTCCTCCACCAAGGCAAAAATTTCTCCCATAATAGTTGATCCAGGAGTTCCCTTGTCTTCTGGATTGGGTTCAAAATTACAAGCCTGCGGGGTTGAACATTTAATGTTTCGTAAGTCGTAACCCAAGTAGTAGTCGTGAACCCAAAAATTGGGTCGGCAGTTCAACGACGGTTATAAAATAAAATAAAAATATCTAAAATGCAGTACAGCAAATTTTAATGATATGTTTCAGTATCTTGATAGAACTTAGAAGAAGACAAATACATCAAACCATTGCGGCACATTTTCTCTGTGATATGACATAATCAAGACTTCAAATCTGTATATTAAATTCCTCCATTATTAATTCCATCATTCAAGACTAAGCAAATCGCACAACAATATCTTATCTCCTATTTGAAATTTTTATAGCTTTTTTCAAATAATTTATCTACTTCACTGGCTGATATGGCCATGATGAATGGGATGAGGCCATATTTGGCCAACGCCTCCACATGGTTTTTTATAAGTAGTTTGATCTGACCACTTAGAAGGTAATCAAGTTTCCCAAAGAACCATTTAATACAAAATCTGTTAAAAATAAGAAAGTAGTAGCAAATATGTCTAAAAATTTGCTTAATTTATGAATATGATTGGTTCGTCTTATTTACTTGTCAACCACCACAGATTCAGTTCTTAAACATATATGATAAATTTCTATAAATTCTTTTTTTGAAAAATAGAATTTGTATTCATGCGCACAACTGGTTCACTTTTTAAATAGTCTACGCAGACTGCTTATAAGAAACCGTATGGAGGATATCTGATGTAGGAGGTGATGGTTTGGCTCAGGTACCCAGCTCCACTTGATAAGTGGAGTAATAGGGATCGTAAATTTAATTTTAAAACTATATAAAATAAATAATTCATATACATTATAAGTGAGCTAATTAGTAAATGATGGCTGATAAAGTTTAATATTTCTATATTTTATTTCACAACCATTAAAGAAAAAAAAATATTTCAAAAAAATACTGGCAGCTGTGTCACTTATTTGATTAAAAACACATTTGTTTATTTCAATCGCAAATTAGGAATGATTAGTCCTTTAGAATTCTTATGTTAAAAAAATAGAGTTAAGAAATAGGGTTAAGAAATGAGCTTATTATAACTTTACTCTTTCAATGTGTTTGCATTTCTTTAAAGTGGGCCAGTCATGCACATTGGACGGCATGGAGTTCACACTGAAAACTCCAGAAGGTTTCTTCGGCAGAATGTATACCTATGGATTTTATGATACGTGTTTTTATGATGGAAACGGTGGCAACGTCAATGTTTTGAGAATTTCAAGAGCCAATGGATTTCCACGCTGTGGAACGCAACAGGTATGATTTCTTTCCATGCTATATATTCATTAAAAATATCAGTTCAAGCACAACCTTATTGGAGAAATGAGTTAAGCATTCACATTAAAGGGAGAGAAAGTTTCAAAGGGAGAGAAAGCTCAATTAATGTTTGTCGTCGGATTGGTTTTCAAATACTGCCTATGTACTACATGTTTCAAGACGTCACAAAATACATTTCCTTCTTCAGCATTCATATTTATATCGAAATCACCGTCAAGCCAGTTATTATACGTTAATAATAAAAAGAAAATAAAAATACTTTAAATTGTTATGATGTAAATACATTAAAAATGCCTGCCAGTGAAAATAAAAAGAAAAACAGCAGCAGTTGCCATATCAACGCATGCGCACTGTTTACTATTACTTTTGAACACAGTCGAAAAGTGTGGACGCCATCAAATTCAAACCAAGACCCATTTTGCCAATGGGTAAAAATCGAAAGAGACAATCGAATGAATCAGGAAAAAAAATCTGGTGAATTACGACTGAGGAATATGAAACTAAAAGTATTAAGACCTGTTTGATTGCTAGAAGAAAAAAGTTAATTATTTCAAACACCTCTAATGAGCCGTGATGGCTCAGGGGATAAAGTGTTCGTAATCCAATGAGATGAACCGGGTTCGAATCCCAGCTATGGCTGGTCGATACGAATTCCGCTTCTGGCTTGTACCGACCACAGTGCTGATTCATTAAAATATCCTCAGTGGTGGACGGATCATGGGTTAGAGTCTCCTTGCGGTCAGGCTAACCGTCGGAGGTTTTCATGATTCTCTTCTCCATGTCACGCAAATGCGGGTTAGTTCCATCAAAAAATCCTCCACGAAGGCAAATTTCTCCCAATACTTGATCCAGGAGTTCCCTTGTCTTCAGGATTGGGCTCAAAATTGAAAATTGCAAGGCTACGGAGTTGAACATTAGCAGTCGTAAACCCAAAAAATTGGGTCGGCTGCTCAACGACAATTAAAAGCAAACAAACAAAAAAACACATATTATATTACTACGGTAATTAAACGGTTATTTTCTATGCCGCTCTCCTTAATAGTAATTCATTAGATCTAGATAATGTTTTTGTTCCTTCCTTACATAAATATTAATTTGTGGCAGTTAATGTATGTACTTCTTTAACTTCATTTTTGATTAAGATTCTAAGGAAATACGTATTAAAGGCTGCGATTACAGAACACCATGTGTATGATAAGATATCTACCTCAGAAATGAAATACATGCGTGTCTAATGTTGATTTCCTTCTTTTTTGTTTCTTTCAGTATGGTGATGTCATCACAAATATTGTAGTTGTACAATTTAATGATTACGTCCAGACATCCAGGGACAAGAAGTACAATTTGACATGTTATTTCTCTGGGCCAGGAGAAGCTGTTGTCACATCTAATTACTTAGACACAAGAACGGACGGGTATGCAAGCATTTGTTTTTAATCTTCCTATAATGAAAGTTAAGTAGTTCCATGAATGCCTGGTTTTGTATATTGCGTTGACGGAGAAAGTTCTTTTAAAAAAAATTGTTTGTTCATTTTTAAAATGAAAAAAAAAAATCCTGGCATAGGATTTTTAAATCCAAATAAATCCTGATACTCATCGACGCAGAGAAAATTATCCTATTATAAATTGTACGAAAAAATTACTATCAAGATTTTTTTTAAACAATTACAAGCGCAATTTTTTTTAAAATAATTGCATATACAATCGCTAGCCAAATTATTAGACGCATTATAAGATTCGATGCAAAATTATAATTGTTAGGTGATACTATACAGCTTTATTGTTTTCACGCGGATGAAACCGGTTTGCATTTGTGTACTTTCGTGTATCAATTGGTTAACATTGTAATGCAATTCCTTAAAAAATAAATACAAATAGGACGCATATAAAAAATGTCATGAATAAAACTCATCACATGTATGTTTAAATATAAAAGTATGCTATACAAACTCGTGCAAAACATGCATTTATAAAAACACTACAATGCGTCTAATAATTTGGACTAATTATTATAATATATCGATATAATAAATATTCTATATTCGTACAATATATCGTCTAAATTATCATACCGTCAAATTTATATTATATATCGTCTAATTTATCATACCGTCAAATTTATATTATATCGTCTAATTTATCATACCGTCAAATTTATATTATATATCGTCTAATTTATCATACCGTCAAATTTCTATTATATATCGTCTAATTTATCATACCGTCAAATTTATATTATATATCGTCTAATTTATCATACCGTCAAATTTATATTATATATCGNTGTTTAAAATTAAGTGCTAAGTTGTTCAAACATATCCAATTTTATTTATACTTATTCAAACTGTAATATAAATGAGTTTCATACAGCTACGATAAAAACTCATGCGCAGGAAACATTTTGAAATATTGGAACATTTAGTAATTTAACTTGCGGATAAATTATTAAAAAAATTATAACTTTTCAACAAATTAATATTTTTGCTTCAAATTTTGGGAATATCTTTCTAAATGTTTTATTCACAATCTATGAAATTTTCATTAAAATTGGTTGATATTTAAAAAAAATCATTTTGAACCTGAAGTGTCCCCTTAATGGATGTTAAGTAGTTCCATGAATGCCTGGTTTTGTATATTGCGTTGACGGAGAAAGTTCTTTTAAAAACAATTACTAGCTCATTTTTAAAATAAAAAAAAAATCCTGGCATAGGATTTTTAAATCCAAATAAATCCTGATACACATCCATGCAGAGAAAATTTTCCTATTATAAATTGTACGAAAAAATTACTATCAAGATTTTTTTTAACAATTACATGCGGAATTTTTTTAATAATTACATATGCAATCCCTGGAGAAATTATTAGACGCATTATAAGATTCTATGCAAAATTATAATTGTCAGGTGATACTATACAGCTTTATTGTTTTCACGCGGATGAAACCGGTTTGCACTTGTTTACGTTCGTGTATCAATTGGCTAACATTGTAGTGCAATACGTTAAAAATAAATACAAATAGGAAGCATATAAAAAAAGTCATGAATAAAACTCATCACATGTATGTTTAAAAATAAAAGTATGCTATAAAAACTCGTGCAAAACATGCATTTATAAAAACACTACAAAGCGTCTAATAATTTGGACTAATTATTATAATATACTGATATAATACCTGATATAATAAATATTCTATATTCGAACAATATATCGTCTAATTTATCATACCGTCAAATTTATATTATATATCGCCTAATTTATCTGACTGATACACTATAACGTGAACAAGTGCGAACCGGTTTCTGTCACGTAAAAACAACAAAGCTGTATAATATCACCTGATAATTAAGATTTTTCATGGAATCTTAAATGCGTCTAATAATTTGGCCAGGGGCTGTATCTAGCACACCTTGTTAAGCTCACCTAGTTATCTATTAAAGCCACCTCTTGATCTGCAGCAAATTTCAATGAAATATTCCTATATGAAAATTTAGCTGAAGACAAGAGATCAATAGCAAGCATACTATAGCAGCGATATTCCCGAGATCGATAGCATACGGATAACCTCATGTTCACCATACCAGCTTAGCTCAAGTTATACTCATATTTTTACATTATGCTCTTATCACCCTACTGCACCGCAGTCAGAACTCATCAATGATCCACATGATGCATTCCACCATCTCATTGATAAACACCTCAAAGTTAAAGATTCATGAGAAAAGAGCCGAAAGCGGCTTCAGGTGCCCAGATGTTCAACTCAGTTCAGTTCAATCTATCTAATCTTCTCACCAATGTTAAAGCTTAATTTCACTCATAAACTTTCTTCAAAGATTAACGCAGCTCTGCTGAGATAACTGAACTCTTTTTCGAACTTTTCTCGGAGCTTTGCTCCAAATTTTCATTCAGATGAATGTGATAAAGCCCCATTTTGGAGCTGGTGCATAAGATAAATAATTCACGTAGGCATTAGCATGTAGTTTTTCCGAGGAAGCTTTTCCTCAATGTAATCGAATTACAATTACAGGTAGAGATATATTTTTCATTATGTAAAAACTTAGACGAGCTATCAATCATCATATATTTATCTGTCAGCCTTGCGTTCATTCCATCAAAAGCGATCAAAATAGAGCTTTTCGATCGAATGCATTTGACTTTTGTATTCAAATTCAAGAATATATATAGGACTCAAGAATATATATAGGAGCAAAGGGCCAGTATTGAACTTGCTAATTGATTGGACTACTCAACGCTCAATCCAAATCACATCCAAGTTATTAAATCTTCGAGTTTTGACAGTCAATGGTATTTTTTTTATTTTTCACGTCATACGCAATCGAGGTTTGGTCCGATGTGCATTAAAGTCAAACGCGAGCAACTGGCTAAGCTAAACAGATAAGCATCGATAAATCTATTTTGCCTTCATCGGTCAGCATTATTTGATGATATTCTTAAATAGCTATTGTTTTTAAATTTATGTTTTTTATTTTCTCATTCGTGTTATTTTTTAACAGGCGTTATCCAACACAAATAGAACATTTGCCTGCTCAGAATGTTCTAACATCCAGTGTGGTTTTAAAAGTTCTGTACCGAGGTGCACCGACAACAACTATTGCTGTTGGGGATCTCTTAACATTCCGGTTAGAGGCAAGAGGAAATTGTAAGTAATAGAATCTTTAAAACGAGAGTAGTCACAGTCATAGTCGATCATAAAAAACTTTTTGACAAAAAATTAATTCCATACATTACGTGCGGCACAAAATCGTGGAATCCAGCAATTAAACTGGTTTCAATTCTCATATTTCTTATAAGTGATTCGTCAAATTTTTGCATCCCTTAATGCACAAACTTTCTTAACTGGAATTTTATTATAAAAATATGGATTAAGGGTAGTGATAACGGTACACTTCAGGCTTTACAAACGAACTTAAATTTTAAACTTCACTTTTTTTTCAGTTCATTGGGAATATTTTGCTGACATATTTGCTACTAATGTCATCGCTAAAGATCCTTATTCAGGAAGACAAGTGCATTTAATTGATGCCAGAGGGTAAGTTAAACAATCATAATGTATTGAACTATTTAATTGTGTTTAATTAATTTCTTTTAATTTCTAAATTTAAAAAGAAATGTTGCAAACATTTAAATTTGAACAAAGTTTTAATTACATGACTTCAGTGACTTCTTATCAGCTTAGTTTGTTTTCTCTTCCAATGCCCTCCAGGGGAATGACCTTTCGTCAATACACGGCAGATTTATTGACCACTCTTTCAGGGGCACCATATTAGGTGGGCCAACGCTGCTCCCACAGTAAGGACAGATAATACAAAGAATGCAAGAACGTTCATGCCTTGCCCGGGATTCGAACCCAGAACCTTTCTGATGCAAGGCCAGTTCCCGGACTTCTGCGCAGTCCGGTCGGCTTATCAGCATAGTTATTTGAATAAAACAGAGTTAAACAGAAACTCTACTTGACAGGGGAATATTATAATAATTTTTAACCTCTCCAGAATCTCGGAAATACTTAAATATTTATGTAATATATTTAAAAGATAAAAAATGTAAAATATTTCATTCTAAGAAACATGCATAATTATATAAATATAGGCCAATATGAGACAATAGTTAAAAAAGAAAAGTTAAAAGAGAATTAAGGCAATTTTATTCTCTAAACTTTATAACAAGGTTGAACCACGTAGAGAAGGTATCTCAGCCCCCCCCCCAAAAAAAATTAGATTTTATTTTATAAGTTCATAAAGTTTATATATTCCCCTGACAATTCAAAGTTTCAGTTTTCTAAGTTTAAAAAAAACTGAACTAAAATTTTAATTAATTTTTCAGTAGTTTTAAGTTATATTTAAAAAGAAATCAAAAACGTATTTGTGTACATAAAAATGTCATTAACATAAAACTGTAACATCCGTGTTATTACAACATTAAACCCTAAATTTTCGATGATGTTCAATTCAGGTGATATTGTACGCTGAAATAAGGTGTGTGATTGTTCATAAAACCAGCAATTACATATTTTTTCAGTCAAGTGATCTTTGCTCTAAGGATATCAACAACCTACCCCTAATCATTTACAGGCAACACCAGACTATCCAGAATATTAAAATAAACATGATGGTTTGTATTAAAGGCCATTGATGAGCGAGTTCAAATACTAATAAGTAACCAACCCCAACCCTAGACCAAACTCCTCAGGCTTGAATATAATTTTCATAATTTCTGAAGGTAGGGGAGACTAAATTCTTGTTCTGAGAGATTATTTAGTTCATGATAAAATATATACTTTGGTATTAAATAAAATTTTAAAGAAAAATGCATTATATTTTGTGCAAAACTATTCTGCTTCTGTTGGGACATGCTTACCCATATTATGATCAATACCAAAATATCATCAAATTTTACAGATGCCCAGTCGATTTATACGTTTTCCCAGAGCTGCACAGAACACCAGATGGCGCTCTTGAGGCAGAATTCTATGCTTTCAAAATTCCAGATTCCAATTTATTGGTTTTCCAAGCAACGGTGCAAACTTGCCGAGGGCCATGTGAACCAGTAAGTATTGTATTTGATCACATAATACAACGAGAAACAAAAAGTTTTGTTACACCACAGTTCAAATCTATGAAATAACTATTACAATAAACAATTACATAGCTGTATAGCTGCACTCCCATACTTCCGGTACGTTAATTTATTTCTCCAATCTCGACCCACCAAGTAACTGTGTTAATAAATATAATCGGGAAAATAATGAAATATATATACATATATCAAATAACAAATATTTCGGACATTCACCAAAGCTATTCACCATATATATATATATAATGGCCAGTAGTGTGTGTGTCTATATATATATACACGCACACTACTGGCCATTAAAATTGCTACACCAGAAGGTGACACACCACGAACATGAAATTCGTAGCACGGATAAAGCATGTTGTAGTATGCAAATGATTAGCTTATCAGCGCATTCTTGCTAAGCAGACGGCGGTAGCGACACCTACAATGTGTATAAAAGAAGAGATTTGACATAGTTTTATAGACATTTGAAGTTTCTCATACAAAAATTAAATTTGAGCCTTGTTCTTGGGTAAAAAAGTTTTTGTTATGCCTCGTGTAAGAAGGAAAAATGCCTACCAGCATATGTCTGAGTTTGATCGAGGTCGAATTGTGGCCTACCGGGATTGCGGTTTATCGTGACCCCATGATTTTTAGCAGAATATGGAATCGATGGGTTCATGACGGTCATATGGAATGCCATGCAGGATCTCAGTGCCCCCCCCCATCACTAACAGCCGAGAAGAGAGACATGTTATCCAAAGGGCCTTAAGGGATCGTACAGCTACGTCACGAACCCTGAGTTAACAAATGGGGTTAGGCAACAAGTGTCTGCACGAACAGTTCGACGACGTTTGCAGCAGCATGGACTGTCAGCACGGCGACCATGGCTTCGGCTACACTTGACGCTGCATCACAGGAAGAGCGCCTCCAATCAACGACGAATCTGGACGCAGGAATGGCGTGACGTCGTCTTTTCAGACGAATCCAGGTTTTGTATACAGCATCATGATGGCCGCATCCGTGTTTGGCGACATCGTGGAGAACGCCCATTGGCAGCTTGCATTCGACATAGTCATACTGGCCCATCACCTGGAGTAATGGTATGGGGTACCTTTGGATACACGTCTCGATCACCTCTTGTTCGCATTACCGGCACTTTGAACAGCAGCCGTTACATTTCTGATGTGTTAGGGCCAGTTGCTCTGCCTTATCTTTGAGGTCTCCATAAAGCTAGGTTTCAGCAGGACAATGCACGACCGAGTGTTGCTCGCACTGTCCTGACCTTCCTTGACACAGAACATGTTCACCTGTTGCCCTTATCCGAACATTCTTCTGATGTCTCACCAACTTAAAACGTCTGGTCAGTGGTTGCCGAATGACTGCCACGCCACCACTTGTCAGTCACCACGGTTGATGGATTGTGGCATAATGTTGAAGCTACATGGAATGCTATACCCGTCCATGCTATCCAATCTCTGTTCGACTCAATGCCCAGGAGAATAACTGCTGTTATTGCTGCCAGGGGAGGCTGCTTTGAGTACTGATTCCTCAGGATCTATAGATCTAAATATCCTGAAAATTTAATCACTTGTTGTTCTTCCAACTATAACATATGTGCCCAATAAATATCATTCTGTTATTTGCATTCCTTCCTGGTGTAGCAAAAGAGTTTCGAAGCATTTTCCCTTACTCACTGAGTCACGTCGATAAATACAATCCCGCCTCGTGACGGTAAGTATTAGCAATATAAAAACCTTAAGAGCTATTTATTTGTAATTGATGGAACGCTGAAATACGTCGTCTGCGGAGAAAACCAGCTTCATGTTTAAATCCTCCCTCTTCTCAGCTGCATGGGAATGTATTACATTTCTCTGCCATCATATTTTTTACATTTAGATTATCAAAAACTATCTTAAAATTTCCACGGTGCCTACTTTAAGCACCATAATGCAGTTTTGAGTTCCATTCAATTTCCAAGCTTAAAATACTTTAATCGGTTTGTAAATTACGACAAAAACTGACGTATTTCAATGGCTATCCACTTGATAAGGTTGAAAATTTTGCTTTTACTGAAGTTCTGATATGCGCCACCTGTAGCCCTCCTACAACTGATATTTTCGAATTCAATTTGAAAACAACTTTTAAAAAAAAATATTCGTTTAATTTAAGCAGTAATGTATCACATGTTTTCGACAGCTTTTTTAAACATCATTTCAGTATAAAAACTTGCAAATTAAATGGTTAAGCGAAGTATGATAGCACACTAAACTATGAAAAATGCAAAATCACTCTAGTTAAAATTATTTTGCCAGTTATGGTTAATGGTATTTGTTTTTCAATTTTATAGGTAGTCTGCAGTGAAAAGGCAAGACCTGGAACCTTTCCCTCCTGGGGTCGAAAGAAGCGATCAGTTCCGAAAGATGAAGACAAAAAAGATGCGACAACACCAGTAAATGATACAGATGCTATTGAGGAAGAAGAACAGGAAGAAGTGCACGAACTCTTGAAAGTTTACTTATCACGGTCAGACATTCCACCAGAGGATATTGCACCAGGTAAATAGCAGAAAAGATACTTAAATATAACAGAAAGTATACCTGAAATATACCAGGTAAAAACAGAAAGTATACTAGGAATATTTCAGGAATACAGCAAAGGTATATCTGAAATATACCAGGCATATAGCAGAAAGTATACTTTAAATGTAACAGAAAGTATACCTGAAATATACCTGGTAAAAACAGAAAGTATATTTGGAATATTTCAGGAACACAGCAGAAGGTATATCTGAAATATACCAGGTAAGTAGCAGAAAGTATATCTGGAATATATCAGGAATGAAGCATAAAATATACCCGAATTATCCCAGGCATATAACAGAACATATACCTGGAATATATCAGGAATAAAATAGAAAGTATATCTGAAATAAACCTGTCTGTAGCAGGAAGTATACCTGGAACATATTAGAAAATCTAAAAGTATACATGAAATATGCAAACCCGAATTATCCTAGGCATATAACAAAACATATACCTGGAATATATCAGGAATAAAACAGAAAGTATATCTGAAATATACCTACATGTAGCATGAAATATACCTGGAAGATATTAGAAAACCTAAAAGTATACATGAAATATGCCTAGTATATAACAGAAAGTATGCCTGAAATATTACAGGTAAAAACAGAAAGTATACTTGGAATATTTCAGGAACACAGCAGAAGGTATATCTGAAATATACCAGGTATATAGCAGAAAGTATATCTGGAATATATCAGGAGTAAAGCATAAAATACAGCTAATCGCTACTTTTATGGTTTAAGATCATTATTGAAATCTCACTTAATAAAAAGAAAGACTAAGATCTTACTTTATAAGGTATTAATCAAGTCAGTTTTGACTTATGCTTCAGAGACATGGACTTTAACAAAAAGGGAAGAAAAGTTATTAGCAACCTTCGAAAGGAAGGTCCTACGAACCATCTTTGGCCCTATACTCGATAACGACAACTGGAGGAAAAGATATAATTTTGAAATATATAGAATCTTTGATGGCGATGATATCATTAAATCTATTAAATTAAGTAGAATGAGATGGGCCGGGCATGTAGTGAGAATGAGCCCAGAACGAACAGCATTGAGAGTCTCTAATGCAACCCCCTCCAGTAAAAGGCCAAGAGGAAGGCCCAAAAAGAGATGGAAGGACTGTGTGGATGAGGATTTTGCCATCCTAAAAGTAAAGAACTAGAAAACAATTGCTGGGAGAAGGGCAGAATGGGAAAAGCTTCTGAGGAAGGCCCAGGCTCACAAAGGGCTGTCGTGCCAATGCTGATGATGATGAAAGCATAAAATATACCCTAATTATACCAGGCATATAACAGAGCATAAACTTGGAATATATCGGGAATAAAACAGAATAATGTATACCTGAAATATACCTGGAACATATTAGAAAAGCAAAATTTATACATGAAATATGACTGGTATATAACAGAAAGTATGCCTGAAATATTACAGGTTTATTACAAAGTATACCTGAATTATGGCAGAAATTATACCTGGAATATAGCAAAGAGTATACCCGCAATATAGAATAAATAAAACAGAAAGTATACCAAAAATATGCAATCAACATAGCATAAAGTGTAATTGGAATATTGCAGAAAATATACAATGAACATAGCAGAAAGTATAATATATCAGAAGATATGCCAGGAATAAAGTAAAATGCATACCTAGAATATAGCAGGGATACAGTAGAAAATAATATGAATACTGAGATTTTTCCTAAATATTCAAAGGGATTACAAAATGTACGCTTTAACATTTGATTTATACAGGTTTAATAAATTTTATTTGATATTATTTTAACCACTTGCTGTGAATGGTTTTGTTACATTAATTTTTGAAAAAATAGAGTTTCAACATTTACAATTTAAATCTTTTTTTTACTAATAGTTGCTAAAAAGATCACCTATATGCTAAGCACAATAAATTCTTATAAAATATTCAAAAAATGAGGAAATCAATTAGTGACCTAGATAGCAAAATATGGTTTACTTTAACTCAGCAAAAACCTTTCAATGTAAACCTGAAAAGGTTTGTTATGCGGTTTACGTGTAAACCTTCTAAATCTTAAAACGAGATCTGTGACAATCTGTTCTATTCTACGCACATTTCTCTAATCAAAAACCTTGGAAAACAACCTTCTATATAAAAATCTTAAATCGAGGTTGGCTGAGGGTTTTCAAGCGTGAAAAAATCCTTAAATAAAGCTAGTCTCAAGGTGAAAATAATCTTAAATCTAGGTAATTATAAGGTTTCTTTTCGCAACGTGTTGTATGCTCAGCTAAAATCCACCTTGTCATGAAATTTTAATGGACAACGCAATTTGATCCTATCGCTAGTGTGACGTCAGTTCAAACGTCATTATGGACCTAAGTGATCATTTAAAAAATAATTTTTAATCGTTCCAGGATGAAAGGTTTGAAACTACAATATTTTTGCATTATTGAAAAAAGGTTTTTAGTACAAACATTTTCGTGACAATAAAAAGAAAATTCCGATACAAGGTTGTCGTAAGGTTACATGCTTTCTGGAGAGTTTTGCTAAATTGGATTTTCTTACGCCATGCAATTTTAGCAAGGGTTAACTTATTGCGAACCATTTTATTAAATTAATGAAAAACTGCATTGATATTGAGCGTTTATGGCATTTTGATATATATTTTCTTTTGTAATTCTTAGTGTCTGAAAAAGAATCAACCGTGTGCATTGCACAAGCTGGATATTATGGAATGATATCCACTGTTGTTATTTTGGTGTGTTTGCTGATTGGTGTAGTGGCCATGTCGTACTATTTCCTCAAACGATCTAGAAGAGTCGTAAGTATTGCAATGAATCTTATTACCCAAATAGCACCTAATATTATATAACATCAGAAAATATAACGTTATTTTGCACAACTTTTTATTATTAGGAATCACATATTGATTTATATTAAGAGCCATTTATTGATTTATGTTTAAGAACCCCATATATTGAGTTATATTTAAAAACCCTATATCATATTTAAGAATCATTTATTGATTTATATTTAACTATATACTGATTTATATTTACGAACCATTTATTGATTTATATTTAAGAACCATATATTGATTTATATTTAACCATTTATTGATTTATATTTAAGAACCATTTATTGATTGATATTTAAGAACCATTTATTGATTGATATTTAAGAACCACATATTGATTTATATGAAGAACCATTTATTGATTTATGCTTAAGAACCCCCATATATTGAGTTATATTTAAAAACCATATATTGTTTCATATTTAAGAATCATTTATTGATTTATATTTAAGAACCGTATATTGATTTATATTTAACCATTTATTGATTTATATTTTAGAATCATATATTCATTTACATTTAAGAACCATTTATTGATTTATATTTAAGAACCATTGATTGATATTTAAGAACCACATATTGATTTATATTAAGAACCATTTATTGATTTATATTTCAGAACCATTTATTAATTTTTATTCCAGGTAAGGAAAATGGCAGCATCAAGCATTTCATCCTCAGGTCCAGAAAATCCTTATGTTTCGCAGTTTCAAGTAAGAAACTTTGCTGATCCAAGCGAACCCATATACACTGACCCGTCTTTATTTGAAAGACCGAGGAACACATTAAGAAACATGACCGCACGTACGTTAGGGAAATTAAGTAACGACCTTGAATGACACAGAGCATCTGAATTAGTAAGGTGATATAAACAAACACTGTTTACAAAAGTGAAATTGTGTGTCTTCATATTTTACCTCAAATGTATGGACAATTAGAAAGACACTGTGATCAACATTGAGAGAAAAAAAAATGTTTTTGTCAAGTTTGAATATTTCTATGTATTCCAAAGTTACTTTCACGAAATCACTCACTTGATGAGATCACACTTATAATATTATTACTGCAATGAATTTTTTCTTATACAATTGTATATAAGTATATCATAAATGAAGAAAAAAAAACATAACTTTAACGAAATAAATTAAACTTTATTTACAATTAAGAATATTCATGGAATAAATAAATATTTCTTACATTTAAAAAAAATAATTTAGGAACGTTTTCTCAAAACAAAACAAACAAAAAAAATTACACAACATAATAAATAAAGCATAACTTTAAAAATCATTTCAAGATTTTTCAAGATCTTAAACAATTATAAATTTCAATAAATTTAGAGTTTCATACATTATAATTACTTAATCCTCCCATTTATTTTGCCAATTTCAAAAATATGTAAGTTCATTTCGCCACAATTTATGTAGTTAAAAGATAAACTTAAAATTGTCTAAATATATAAATAAGGAATGTTAAATAGCTGAAGCATTTTAATTAATCATATTTATCAACGTAAATGTGGTATCACATAATTTCAATAAATTTAGAGTTTATTACATTATAATTAATTAATCCTCCCATTTATTTTACCAACTTCAAACATATATAAGTTTACTTCTTTTCAATTTATGTGGCTAAAACATAAACTTAAAATTGTTCAAATATATAAATAGGGAATGTTAAATAGATGAAGTATTTTAATCAATCATATTTATTAACGTAAATGTGGTGTCACATTATGTTAATGTGGTATCATTACATTACAAATGATAAAACATTTACATATTAGTTTAAATGTGGTATCATTTATAATGTAAATGTGATACCATAGGCTTGGATGAGAGCTATATTGAATAAAGCTAGTTCTTGTCCAAGACCCTAATAGAGTATAGCTTTACTTTGCTTTTATAGTATGAGTATGAGTCAATTTAATTTGAAAGTTGCACAATTTCAATAAAATAAATTATTCTAGAATAAAGTTTACTTTAGCATTTGAAAATAAACTTTAAAAAAAAATTTCATAGTGAAATTTTACCTGCTGAGCTAAATATAAACTTAGATTCTTAAATTATATGAATGGAGTAAAGGTAAAAAAAAAGAAAAAAGAAATTTTAAAACTAAGTTTAGCAAAAAAAATTTAAAAAAAAAGCATAATTAATTCTTTAAAAATTATAAATAGACATCAGTATTTAAGTTGATGGGAAAATTACTAAAAAAAAAGGAAAATTGTGAGCAAACAGAAGGTCTATCAACAGACTGACCAAATTTTCAATGTAGACACCATAAATAATGGCTTAAAAATTAATAATTTCTTGAATAATTTAAAACAACAATTCCTAAAATTTGTATAGACCAAAACTAAGTCAAAACACTTATATTAAAAAACAGTCAATTTATATGCTTATACTATAATTTCAAATTATGCGTAAATCTTTAGACTTGTAAACATTTAATAAAAGTCATTACAATTAATAAAAGTTAATTATGCAACCTTCAAAATGAATGGCATAAATATGTAATAATTAACATACTCAAGCTACGCTTAAGCAGCAAAATTTTCAAACAGATTTATATAAAAATCTGAATAATGTTAATACATAAACACAAAATCTGAATATTTTTTTCCTCGTCTATTTAAAGATTTTCTTTTGTACACAACAATTTCTATATTATTCATTATAAAACTAACATTAATTCATCATTGTATATATGTTAATTATTGTGCATGTATGGGATGAGCCATTATGATATATGACTGCTGCACCTTAATTTGCTTTATTGTACTTTTAAATACAATTTTAAATCTTAAGTATCACCATGTATAAAAATGCACATGTAAAATTTTTTACTAGAATTGATTTAAAGTCAATAAAATAGTTTAAAATATTGTGTTATTTTTCTTTCTTCAAAAGGTTATTTGATGAGCAGCTGAAAGGTCTGGTTTAATTACATTTCCTATTTACTGACATTTTTTTTCATTACTTAATTTTTATGAAGAATATGAGGGGATAGGTCAATAATTTTTATTAAACAAAAATATAAAGCAAAATTTAATATCTTTAATTTGAATCAAAATATTCACATTTAGAATATACACTGTGTTGCATATATCATTATTTTTCAAGCTCTGGTCTAAGGATTAATATTTGTATTAATGTAAATTTTATTTATATTTAAATAGTTTTAGGCTCAAACTAATTTTCATAGTAGAAAGCGTGTGACTATTAAAAACTGCTCAAAAAACTCGATCCACAATCTTGTATAAGTAAATATTATGTCACTAGTTCAAATTACCAACCTTAATAGTCTGCAATGAAATATTTAAATATTTTTCTGGCCCTTCAAGTTAATTGGATTGAAAACACATACCTGCCAACATTCAATAAATAAAATAATGGTGATTTCACTAGCGACATTTTTTAGACTACGAGTAAAGTTTTGATACATCATGCATAATCATGTAATCCAAAAAGAGGAACTCGAAATTAGAAATAATATAAGCACTTACATTTAGCAAAGTAAAATGTATGTATATAAATCTTAATTTAAAGAAGAGTTTTTTAAAACCATTATTTATAATTACTTAAACTATTTACACTCAACATATTGCAGTACTGGCAATAGCATTATCTGTTGAGGAATAAGAGAAGTATTTTGGCCATCATTGGATATTTTATCACCAAAGAATTTTTTAAAAATTTCTACAACAAATACAGAGAAATTTGAGAAGTAAACAGGAGATATTCGTAAAATACAGAACTCTTCGTTAAAAAAAACGGAGACTTGGCAGGTATGGCAAACACTGGCACATACTACCAATGTCAATTTTCCTCATATTAACGGGTGGATAATTTTAAACAACTGATATCAATTTTACTACATTAAAGCCCAGCATAACATTAACGAAACCAAAATTCTCAAAATAATATAACAGAGATGTGATGAAGTGTACTACTTAGCACAGCAAAAGAATAATTTTCTTTGACAAAATTCAAGATCTGATATTTGTTTGCAGCATAAATTGCCCGACCCAATATAGTCCTAAATTATCTGATAATCCCACTATAGGTGAACCTTTTGTACTTATATTACCATATAGTATACACAGAAGGGTGCAATGCCAAAAACTTTTTTTGAAAATTAAAAATTGAAAGTCAATAATAAGTCTTCATTGCAGTCAATATTCACCAAAAATGTCTTTAGACAAATTAAAAAATAGTAAGGTCAACCGGGATGGGCCTAAAATGTCAAAAAAAATTTTATGTCAAAATTTAAATGTTAATTCCTTTTAAAGCATAAATATAAAACAAATTTAAAACTTCAAGTCCATAATTATGAAGATTAGGATGTAACGTAACAGAAAAAAATTTGTAAAAAACGTAACATAAAGCCTTCATATAAACCTTTAAACTCAGAACCGACATAGAAAATCTAACCTAAAGATTTAATTTAAAACTTAAAATATGCATATTTGTAAATGAAAGTTGAAGTTTTCACGTAGATTCTAGGGGATCTTTTATAAGAGTTTTTAACTGATACTTTATATTTTTGAACTTAAAAACTAAAATTTATTTTACATTTATGCCTTAAAAAATTTTTTATTTATGTTTTCGCCTCCAAAAAATGAAACTTTAGGTCCATTATGAAAGAACTAAATAACTTGCAATGCTACTAAAAAATTTTTTAATACATATGTGACTTCAAAACAACTCATCCGTTTAAAATCTTTAATTTCAAAAAAAAAAAAAAAAAAAANAAAAAAAAAAAAAAAAAAAAAAAAAAAAAAATTCATGTCACAAGCTTAAAATAATAGAAAAACACAATTTTTTATGTTGAAAATGTAAATGTAAATTCTTTTTGAAGCATAAATATAAAACAAATTTCAAACTTCGAGTTCATAATTGTGAAGATTAAGATGTAAAGTAACAGAAAAAAATATATAAGATACATAACATTAATGTCACTTAAAGCCTACATGTAAACCTTTAAACTCAGAAGCAACATAAATAATCTAACCCAAAGATTAAGTTTAAAATTGAAAATATGCATATTTGTTAATGAAAGTTAAAGTCTTTATGTAGATTCCAAGAGATCTTTAATAAGAGTTTTTAACTGATACATTATATTTTTGAACGTGAAAACTAAAATTTATTTTATATTTATGCTTTAAAAAAATTAAATATATGTTTTTGATTCCAAAAAATGAAACGTTAGGTCTATTATGAAAGAACTAAATACCTTTTAATGCTACTTCAAAATATTTAGTACATATTTTTAATTACATTATTTTTATAAATTTAAATTTATTTTATGTTCATGCTTTAAAAAAAAGTAAATTTACGTTTTTGACTCAAAAACATGAAACTTTAGGTCTATTATGAAAGAACTAATTACCTTTCAATGCTACTATAAAATTTTTAGCACAACTCTGACAGCAGAACAACTTATTACCAGCTTAAAATTTTTAATTTTGAAAAAAAGAAAAAATGTCATGTCACACGCTCAAATAATAGAATAACATAAATATTATGATAAATTATTTATCTATTAACAGCAAATATATCACAACTGAATTGTACTATTCATGAACTCCATTTTAGCTTGGTATACTAATTAGATTATAAATTAGATATTAGCTAAAAAAATATTTTTACTTTTATCACCAAGGGACAAGAACCAGGCATTTAAATCTCAATTCTTATCTAATCAACTACATGAAAAATTATAGTGAATATCACATGGAAATTAATTTGAAGAATTATTTCACAGTTCATCTTTATAAATTCGACTATGATGGTCCACCTTGTTCATTAAATTATTCCATAAATTATAAGATAACAAAGCAACATTTTTGGCCCCAATAGCACTCATTTCCATAGCACTAGCTGAAAGTTCTATAGCATTAATATAATATAAACCAGGATAAAGCAAAAAGGGAGGAACATTCTCTGGTGGTTCATAATGTGGATACGCCAACCAATCTCTTTCCTTGATCATCTCAACATCGTTAAAAAGACGGTGAATCGTTTTTGGTGTAAGAGGTTCTGCACTGAATACTTTATACACATTCGTAGTGATATTTTTCTCCAAAGTACTAACAGGAGTAACTTTACCAATGCTATTAAATAGAAGATGAGGCTGACAGGTAAGGATTTCATTAGGCACTTTATCCGCATTAAAGGCAGCAGGGTTTATAAAACCTTTAACAAATGTTGCGACAGTTCTGTGGAATTTGGTTTCAAACTGCTGGAAACTCTTTTTAAAATGTGTAAATTTTATGTTTGTGAGTCCTTTAATAAGTGGATTTGCAATTATAACAATATCGTACTCGACGCCTGATACACTTCCACTCGGTTCTACGTACTTTAAATTATATGAGCCATCTTTTAATAAAATAATCTCTGTAACATCTCCATTCACAAGCTTAGCTTTAGATAGTCTTAGGAGACCTTCGGGAACACGCTTGTTGCCACCGTCAATACTCCACAAATTACTATCGGCTCCTGCTAGTGACACAAATCCTGAAAAATAAATTTTTCTTTCAGAATTTGTGACAAATACAAACTATCTGATAGTGACACAAATCCTGAAAAAATAAATATTTCTTAAAGAATTTGTGATAAATACACAAACAATCTGGAAAATTTAACAGGGTGCGTAGCCAAATGCTTCAACAAAAAATAAACACCTTTAAGTACTTTTTAAGCACTAAAAATATTTTTAGGTATCATATACACTAACAAAATGCAAAATAATTTTCAAAGACTTTACATGATCATGATAAAATAACTAGTTACTGACATAAAGAAATCTTTTCTTGATAATATTAGTCACCACAAAAAGATCAAGAGATTTTTCGGTTTGAATTCAGAAGGTGGAAAATGAAGCCTGAAATTGAGAATATCTCTCAAAATGCAGCAGAGTTGCACACGAGAGAGCAATAATCTCACCAAACCCAGTTCAGTAGACGCATGTGTGGACCTGCAAGTATTTCATCGAACATGCGAAATGATTGGCGTTTTCATACGCTATGTACCGACGGTACTCCAAAATGCATTGTGTTTGAATGAATTAAGAAAACGTTGAATAGAACAACGTGAAAAATATGCTTTTGCATAATACGTGGAGAAAATTGATGTAAAGATACGAAATCTCATTTTCAAAAAGGGAAAATTGACCACTTTTTAAAAACGCCCAATGTAAAAAGCACCTTCAAAGGCTTTTTAAAAAAAACAAAAAGCACCTTTAAAAACTTTTTAAAAACGCTATGCACCATGAAATAACATTACTAATTGCAAGCCTCAAATCTGACATGCTATGATTACATAACTAATTTCAAAAGCAGAATATAAAAGAAAAAGCGAATCACTTAATTAGTATGACACAATCAAAATACACACAAAAATTAGTAAACAAAATACAACAAATTAAAATTATTACCTGCAAAAGCACTAATATTATTTGTTTGTCCATAATTCACCATCATTACAGATTGCACCAATTCATCTAAAAATGCTTTAGAATAATGCTTTCCAAGATGTCCAGCAAGAGACACTTGCGTCATGTTTTTAAAATTTTTATTCATGGAATCAAGCAGACCATTCACAGTTGTGAAGGAATAATTTGCTTTTTGTAAATCATATATCCTAAAATAAAAAAGAAACTGTTCAAATTTTTAAACTTAAATCCATTATGAAGTCAAACACAAACACTTGGTGTAATATTTAAAGCATAACTTTAACCTTTTAAATATGACACTTTGCATGCTAAAGCTTGTTATTCTGCTATACTTTTTGCACCAGCCATAAGCAAAAGGTTAATACAGTGAAACCTCCTATTATGGACACTCTTGCAAAACGGATGCCTCGCAATACAGATATATTTCTAATTACCCGTGAATCTTCTAGGAATAACCCATTATGTACATTAATTGCACTCCCGTAACCGGACATAAGCCCTGTGGCAGAATTTTTTCGAGCTATCTGCGACAAATCTCTCTAGCACTAATATCTTTATGCAAGATACTTTTAATAATAACCAACATATATGCTCAGGGGTCTGTTCAGGCCGAATTTACTACCGTTTAGCGGTACCTTCACAAATTCAACTTTAGGAAAAACACAAAATACTTTTTCTTAAAATTTTATTTTTGTATCCTTTAAGAAACGATAAATCTATATTTTTATCATGTTTTTTGTGTTGATTTTTTAATATAATTTTTCACAAATTATGTTTAAATTTTCACAAAATAGGTACCTCTCAGAAAAACCTAGGCAGACCTAGATGTTACTAATTTAAAATATAACAAGGGCTGTGTTAAAAAAAAAAAAAAAAAACTACAGAATTATTTTTAATTGAACATGTATTTATTTTTTATTCTAATATTATGGGTGATATTCTCGCATTTTGTTGGGGGGAAGAAAAAATTATTTATTTGTTCGTATTTTGTAAATAATCATCATAATAAAAAAATAATTAAAAATCACAAAAGCCGTAGTAGAAGTTGCTGAAAAAAAGATCGAAGACAAAATCACGTGAATCGGACCTCTGAAATGCATGCTTTGTTTTGAGATTAGGTTATTGCAATAAATAATATGTTATAAAAAATGTCAGATTTAAAAATCGGAGAGAAATCATTAGCAATAACTACCTAAAATTCGATAATTATTGTTTTAAAAAATAATTACTCACATGCAGTTTTGCAATTTTTTATATTGTTTGAAATACATCGGGACCCCTTAAAAATCATCTGAAAATCAATATCAATAACTGCCGAAATACAATCGAAACATTACGTAGATTTACGATACCATCGGCATAAATTGAGCACGCCAAAAAGTGTTTATCTAAATGCATGATTGAAATATTGCATGTAAATTTCTGTAGATAAAAAAATTAATAAATTGTTTTCAAAAGAAATTTTTTTCTCTGCTAGAACTCTGTAACGATCTGAGACAATATCGCCGTGTCGCTGCGATTCTGCCACTGGAGACATGGGCAGTCATTTTCGCCCTGAAAAGTTACTTTATATTTCTTCAAACCAGATAATATTTTCAGACATCAGAATCAATCTTTATGCTGTCACCTTGCTTTATCTTTTCAAAGAAAGAAGAGAAAATGATAGGTACTGCTCATTCTGGCAGCAGCATCTTTTGATCTGGATGACGGAGGTTATGAGACCCCACAAGCTGAGATGCTCTCAATGCTTCTACCCCACTGAAAATTGCTTTGATTATTAATTCATTATTAATTTGAAAACTTGCATTTAACACAACTGGGGTAAAAAAGAGAACAGAAATATAATCTTTGTGGTGTTCATATAAATAAAACATTTATTCAGACACTTGATATTTGATTAATTGTGAATATATCAACCCCCTAGGTCCTCATGACTTACAGGTATGCATTGCTTTTTTTTCCCTGTGAGGTTTACTCTCAAGGGGGTATTAACCACATTTTGTATCAAGTGATCGATAACACAAGGAGAACGATATGAAGAAATGTTCCAAATAAGGCCGAGGCCCACCCCAGGCTGTCATACCAGTGATGATGTTGATACCTTTAGCAGAATCGTGGCGACACGGCAACATTGCCGCAGAACATGACAGAGTTCTTGAAGAAAGATTTTTTATTTGGAAAGCAAAAAAGTTTGGTTTTTTTATCCGCAGATGACTTTTATCCGTAATGACTGTCTATAGTTAGAATTTCAGATTGGTATTATAAAATGTAATTTTCAAATCGCAAAAATTTAAAAGAAGTTAACTATACAAATATTTTTCTTTAGAACAGGAGAATATATATTAGAAGTATTCTTTTATATGTAGGTTAAAAAAAATTTTGCATTTATAATTTAAAAAAAATTTCATACCGTTCTACTGTATAGATACATACTGCATACTTTTTTTTTTGTATAAAGAAAGCGATTCTGTTACTTTAAATTAATAATATATATGATTGCTATTATTAAAAATGCTTTTCAGAAAGGTATTAATACTAGAGAGAATTGTCGCAGAAAGCTGGAAAAAATTGTTCCATAGCAGGGATCTGTCCCGGCCAAATTTACTACCGTTTAGCGGTATCTTCACAAATTTAATTTTAGGTAAAACGGTAGTTTCACAAAATACTTTTTCTTAAAATTTTATTTTTGTATCCCTAAGAAACGATAAGTCTACATTTTTACCATGTTTTTGTGTTCATTTTTTAATATAATTTTTAATTTTTCACAAATTATGTCTAAATTTTCACAAAATAGGTACCTTTCAGAAAAACCTAGACAGACCCCTGCATAGGGATGCTAATGAAAAGTTTTCAATACAATTTACCAATAAGTTATACTTAATGTACATTGTACAATAAATAAAGAGTTTGACAAAATACAAAATCATACCTACTAAATTCATCTAACATCCACTTGACATCTTTCCAAAGTTTAATAGTCGAAAAACCATATCTCCATAAGAATTTAATAACTGAAATAATGTACCAGTCACTCTCCTCAATAACAAATTTTTCTCCATCATATACTCCAAATTTAATACTAGACTCTGGTTTTTTAATACCAAGACCTAATACCAAACACAAACAATTAATTATTTAAAACTAAAATACATTTAAGTTTATTTGAAATTAAGAACAATTATCAATAATAAAAATAATAAGGTAACAAGGTAGGGCAGGAGTAGCAAAATGATCAATAATATTTCTAAATTAAAGAAGTGAAAAGACGGTTTTGAAAAATCTAAAACATAAACGTGTGGTTGCCTTCTTAGAAATAAAATTCAATTTACAAGTTATTCCACATCAAAACATAAAGGAATTTTTAAAAATAATACCATCACACACTTGTTTTATTTTATAACCGCCGTTGAACAGGTGACCCAATTCTGGGTTTACGACTACCAATGTTTAACTCTGTATCCTTGTAATTTTGATCCCAATCCAGAAGACAAGGGGGATCCTGGATCAGAACCCCAGAGGTACTGATTTGTTATGAGAACATGGATGACTTTGTGACCCGAGAGATTTAACGTGCACCAGTCACCGTTTACTACATGGGGAGTATTCGGCAGTCAGGAATCGAACCGGTGATCTCTTCGACGTGGACCAGTGCCCGACCAACCACGCTATACCGGCCCCCGTCACACACTTGTTAGAAAATTTATAGACTTGTCGATATTTTTATACTGTTTTCAAAAACATCAATAATACTATTGAGATTAATAAAAAAATTACAGGCTAATGTGTTTTTTTGTCGAAATAACTCTCCACTCCCATATAGAGTTCTATAAAAATAAACATTCTTAAAAAAATCTGTGAATTTTAAACTCCTTTAGTATGTTATGAAATATCTTCGTTACTTATAATTGATTTCAAAACCCAAGTTAAAGGTTTTTAATTGTAATACTTTTAAAAAATCATTGAAAGTGATTAAGAATGTCGTTGATTAAGAAGGAGGGATAAAGAGATTATCTCCCTTCTTCAAAAGATTTGGGGAAGAACTCCTCATTATCCCTCAAAGATCTACGCCCATGTCTCTGTGATAACTACTGAGACCAGATTATTATCAGATTTCACAGAACTTGAACTTGGCAAAGAAAAAAAGTCACCAAACATCAGGTGCAGATGTACAAACCTGTCCCATCATAGTTGGCAAGACAGCCTAATGTGGGCCAATGTCTTCCTTTGAAGATTTCTTCATAATGACTTCTGATTTATCTCTGATCTCCAATTCTTTTCATTAATTGCAAGAAAATCAGACTCCAGCGAGTCAGCCCATCTCAACTGCGCCCTTCCCTGTTTTCTTGCCTCAGTGGGTTTAAAAAGCAGTATCTTTTTTATTGTATTGTCATCACTCGCTCGAATCACGGGGGCCATTCAAATCATTCTATTTATTTTTATCTATTTCATAATATCGGGTTGTTTATAAGTCTTGTACAGTTCAATGTTAATTCTCCTTCTCCAGTTATTGTTTTCATTTACACCAGCAAGTATCTTACTCTGCAAAATCTTTCTCTCAAATATTGTGATACAATTTTCCTCCAGTTTTGTTAGATTAAGAACATTGTTTTTCTAGAAACCTAGATTTAATAAATCTTCTCAACCAGTCCCAAAATTATGCAAAACAATTGCATGTACTTTTCCGTTAGCTGGGAGCAAATGTCGCAAATTGTGAACCAAACACGCGTGAAGCCTCCAAGTGAAGCGAAGGACAAAACAGTCAATGGAATATAAGTCGAAAACGTTCTTTAACTATAAACAAATATTTATTAAAAGTAAGCAAAACAAGTTCAACTATAAACATATATTAATGAATTGTAATCAAAACCCAAAATGAAAGTTTATAATAATTGGTTTCTCCACAATGCGGTAATGTCCTTGAGAACTTCCTTCAAATGGATTGCTTACTCCTCCTTAAGACAGTTTCATTTCATGATTCTGACTGCATGTCGCATTCTTTGCCAATACACCTTTCTCTTGAAAAAAAGAGACTACAGTTTTTCTTCAGTTCTGGCAAAATCCCAAACTTTCATCATTTTTAAAACAAGGATGGAAGAAATTGAAGGATAATTATATGGAATTAATTCAGAGAATTGAGCAGGTGGCCCCAAACTAACATTCCCTTTATGATTGTGAGAAATTTGGTGGAATTCAACATTATTTAGAGATTTTTCGCTTGCACCCGGCTAACGGAAAAGTGCCTGATTGCATGAGTAATGAGATAACACAAAAATAAAATAAATACCTAATTTATCAGCAAATTTCAACATATATTCATTTCTTAAATGTATAACGGCTCCTCCAGCTTCATATTTATTTCTATCAACATCAACTAAATTAAGTCTCCCTCCAATCAGATCTCGCTCATATAAAGTTATGTCAGCTTTTCCTCCAAACAATTCGTTCAAAAAATGGGCACATGAAGTTCCTCCGATACCACCTCCGACAATAGCTAAAATTTATACATAGCATGGTAATTAATACATAACATGACACAACAAATGATAAACAAGAAAATGATCTAAAACAGGTCAAGTAGCTAGATACTTAAACAAAAAATAAGCACTACTTTATAAGCACTCAAAAAATACTTTTGATCCTTCCCCCCTCCCCACAAAAAAATTTATAATTAGAATCTGTGCAGTAATAAAAAAAAAATTTTTATCATTGGAAGTTCTTAATTTATTAACATTATATCAATAAAATTCAAAAACATTTTCTAAAACTTCACATAATCGTGATAAAATAACTAGCTTCCGAAAAATATTGCAGAGAAAATTGTCAAAATCATGAATTTTTTGTAATTTACAACGACAACTGATATGGCAAAGAAAAAATCTCTTTTTAAAAGATAAAGTTGTACTGCTAATTACCGATTTTCGGAGGCGAACGTCCATAAACCGTCGTCAACGTAAAACAAGAAAGCATAAAAAAGAATTCAATGATTCTAAAAATCATTGTTAGGCAATTTTTGTTTTGATTTAAAAAAATCAGCGGTCCAATATCATGAAATGGACTTTAAAATTAGATCGAAAAATTGAAACTTTCTAATCAGTGTTCTGACAGTCGTTTGTTTATTTATTTATTGTTCGATTGATTACTTCTTCAAAGCTGAACTAGATCAAGAAAATTAATTTTCGCATTTTTAAATTTCAGCTCGAAATTCCAGCTTTTCATTGGTCATTTTTTTCATTGTAATGCCAGTATAAATGTTGCATGCGCATTTTTAGAGAGCTTCAAGCAAAACATCTCTAGCTCGTGGCATCTATCAACCCTCAATCAATTTTATAATTGATCAAATAAAATGATGAAGTTTTGATGTCTGGTTGTTAAATTTACGTATCTTGTTCTCAAAAGATATACATTTGTTGGAAAGTTTGACATGGCATCGACAAAAACTGTGACTGAGGCTAAGGTAAAGTATTACCTTTGATTCTGATTTTTATACGATGAAAAATCTGTATTTAAGGTAAAGGTAAATTTTGTTGCCCAATTAACTCCAGGAACTTCGGATTCGTTTCCCTTGATTAGTATATTAAGCCATCTTTATTATAAACAACGCTATTTTTTTTAAAAAAAGGCCTCAAAGTTTTCATTTCATTCAAGTAAGCCATTTTTAAGATGTGCTAAACATAAAAATTAGTTTTGCAACATCACAAGCAACTCATCTGTTACTAAAAGTTAGTTTGTATCAGTTTGTTTGTAATGCTTAGTCAATCTACTGATGATCAACCGAATTTTTTCTTCCTTTTTCCACTTTTGCGAAGCTTGCTAAATTTCTCTTGTGCCTTATATTGTCAAACCCTGCATAAAATATTTTTAAATATTACTAACAATTTTTGGTAATTTCTTTTATATAAAGCAAAAAAAAATATTCTGTTTTTATAATTTTCAACAGCTAATTAATTTTTAGCTTAAATATTTTATCTATTTAGGTCATGGTTTCCAAATATATCTGCAACTAATATCAGACATTTAGTTACACACTATTTCCTTTTGAGAAGAGGAGGGAACTGTAGAAATAGATGAACTATTTTGCTGTGCACTAGCAAATTCAACCCAAAATTAAGGTTTTCTTATATTTTCCAATATTGAATTGTAAGCTACCTATTGTAAAAAAAAGAAAAAATCTAAAATAAATTTTGTTCTATTAGTTTTTTGAAATTCTATTCTACTGTTGAAGGGGATATTTCCGTATCGTGATCTGACGAGCCAACTACAATCACCAAGGTGCCAAATAGAATTAAACTTGCAAATTTAAAAAAGAAAAAAAATCATGTAGACGTTTGCCTGTGGGTGGCTACGAGATACAACTTTCAAGTTGGCCCCTTTCTATGGTATTTTTTCTCGCTGGCCCTTGCCCATAAGTTGCCAAGACTTGGCAATTATTCGACCACAGATCACAATACAAAAATCTCCCCGCATTATTATCGTGAAGCTGTTAGGTTGTATTTTCAAATGCACGGTAGTATTATTAAAGCCAATAATGCTTAATTGAATGCTTTAATTAGTGCACTGGGAATATTTCCATATTAGTACAGTGGTCTGTTCTAGGCAAATTTGCTACCTTTTAGCGGTACCTTCACAAATTCAACTTTAGGAAAAGCAATAGTTTCACAAAATGCTTATAAAAGTAAGTTTCTTCTCTCTGCCTCTTAGAATTTTGTTTTTGTATCCCTGCAAAAAGCGATAAATCCCGGGTTAATTCCACATGCAATAGGTTGCATGTGCTTGGTCAGATAGTGTAGTGTGGTAAGTGACATCCGAGATTGTTGCTGAATATCATTGTATCTATTAGTATATGGTATATCCTATAATGTAAAGTATGTGTACTTTGATAATAGGATTTTACAACCCCTCGAAGTTTAAAAGTACCAATCTAGTATTGAATTCATAACATTAATACCTAATAAGAAGATTTCAGAGCACACATTCTAAAAAATCTAATATTATAAAAATTATCTTTTTTACAGAAAGAGATTACACTATTTCCTATAGAGTATTTTAGTTATGTACATAGAACACCTTAACTCTTCTAATACATATAATTTAGCAAATTTTTAATGCTTTTGTCTACAATCTATTTAGCATTACTAATCGAAGGTATCCAACAAATAATGCTATATCTCATTTGTAATTCTCTTTCTCACAGGGTTTGAAAAAACCCGGGGAAAATTGGGTTTTATTTGAAAGAACCCGGGAAATTTTTTTTTTTTCATTTGTTGCTCATGAACTTTAAGTCTTACTGTGTAAATATCTTTATTTATTAAAAAGTGTTGTGTAAGCTTAAAAATAGTAATAAATCCAAAAAGTTATTTTAATTTTGTTACATATACTTTATATTAAGTTTAAATTTATTTAAACTTATTTAAATTTATTTATAATGCATTATAACGCATTATTACATATTTGAATCTTCCTTATAGTTAAGTACATAACGTTTCACAATTTTTAACTCAAGCATTATGAATATTACCTATCATAAAATAATAATCAGTAAATATTTATAATCAGTAAAAACTAAAATTTCATCTGACTTTTGACTTTAATAAAATACTGAAATAAATATTTAATGTTTTCCATGTTTCCAAACTTCCATATTTTTATAATAAGATTAAAAGAAATTGAAATTATGTATAATTATTAAGAGTATCAGTTACTTGTCCCATTTTTTTCAACTAATTAACCCTAGGAAAATGATTTCATTTTTAGATTAATTATTTTAAAAAAGTTCTCTTATAAAAAGTTTTAGCTTATTTTTTTAAAGCGAGAAAATAAAACTGTTAAAATGCGTTAATGTATCACTTAGTAAAAAAAAAAAAATGTTTCTTTTCAATTTGTTTAAACATATATGAATTAATATTAATATATAAAGCATGCAACTATATTTGAAAAATTGATCTTTTCCGACTATATTATTTAAATTTCTATTTGATTTAATTTCATTGAAATATAACTTTTTGAAAAAACCCACTTAAAGTTTTCAATAGTACTATAAAATTATAGATTCGAGTTTCTTTTACTTTTACAAATATTAAAAACTTAATCCCATAAATCATGCAACTCTATTTGACAAGTTTATGCTGCTCATTAAACTACATAAAATTAAACGTGCACCAATAAGTTTTAATAAAAACATTTTTTTGTTGGAAAAACCCACCTTGAAAAAACCAGGCGGGTTTTTTCTAAGTGGGCCCACTTGGCGAACCCTGCTTTCTCATGATAATCCCCTTTCCTCATAATTGTTAACTTTTTCTCTATGACATCACTGCACAAATAGAAACACATGATACTATGATACATCAAGATAAAAACACATAAATATAATTACAAGATGAAGACGCACATAATTGTTTTTCTGTGTATATAATACACATATTTTGTTTGGCAATTTTAAACATTTTTTATTTCAACCTTGATACTTAATTTATGTAAATTAATAAAGTTTTGTTTGTTAATTTCATGGCCAGTTTAAAACATGTTTACCCAAGCTCTCACTCATAGATTAATTTAAATTTTTTCGATTTTATACTATTTACATTGTATCAATCACTGTAATATAAAATATTTTGCAGTAATTATGCACTCTAAAAGCTTGTTTCTGGCTGTTAAAAAGAATTTTGCATTATTAATCAAAATGCTTTCAGATAGTAATGTGATAGTGTAAAAAGTAATCCCTTGCAATTAATGGTCTTTAACTAGACCTTTAGATCCGGCATGATGTAAGAGTTACTCAAAATTAATTTTTAAAGAAAACGTCTTATTTTTAAGAAAAATTACTGTACTTTCCAACATTTTCTTTTTTTGAAAATTGAATACTTCACATCAATAAATTATCCAGATCAATATTAAATAACCAGAACCAGACATTTATGCATATTCAAATTAAGTGCATTAAAATTGAATCTATTAATTTTTTATTAAATATAAATAAATTTTGTTACACTTCAAAAATATCACTTTTATGATTTTTTTATGTTATTTAATATTTATGTTTCTTGTTCACAGTAAAATTAATATTTCTATAATGATCACTTTTCACGAAAAACTTAAGTTGAACATTACAATCTATTATGAAAACCAAAAAATCTATCATAGTTTTAAATAATGTCACTTTTTTTGTTGATATAAAACATACCCCATATAATAGTAATTAAGATTAGGGTAATAATTTGTAGGCAAAATTTGTAATGTACAATATCATATCATGTTCAAATATATATTACTAATATTTGCTGTCTTAACAATTATTTAATAATATACTATTTAAACTTCACTGTCTTAACAATTTAAATTTTTTGTTAGAGTTTACTAATTCTAATTTTTTAAATTTTTAATTCTTTTTCAGGCTTCAACTTCAAATGGCCCTCAAGTGGTTCAAGAATATATTGTTAAAATGCCATTGTAAGAATTTTTTCTGTTTACATAAGTAATCACAATCAGTGTAGCTTTTATGATGAACATATGTTCAGGGTATCTGCACACCTGGAAAGTCATGAATTTCAGTATTGTACAAAATTTATCATAAAATGATAAAGTGTCATAATTTTAACTATTTAAAAAAAAAAAAAAAAAACATTGAAAATAATGGATTTAGGTTGCCGAAAAATCTAATTTTTAAAATGGAATTTACCACTCCCCCCAATTTCATGGTGTTCCGAATATCTTAATTTCTGACAAAATCCCCACTCAGAGTCATATTTTATTAAAATATAAAATGTTTTTAAAAACTATGGTGTTCTTTCAAAAAAGGAATGAAAAAACATATCTAGAGCGAATTATCTTTTAAACTTCTGTTATTTCAGAATTTTAATTATTATTTTATCAATTTAAAATTCTAGCTGAAGCAAGCCAGTCATCGGCAAATTTTTTTTATTCCGAAATGAGAACAAAAAAATCTGGAGTATTTCTTTCCTCTCCAAGAAAGGTATCTTTAGAATAGAATTCTGCAGAAAGAAAGAAAAATAAATTATTTGCTTTCGTATTCTTTTCAGCTATTTTATTGCTTCAACTCTTTCTTGACTCTGCTTTTTAAATTTGAAATCTATAAGTATGAAGATGCAGAGTATAACAGTTTTGGTTATTTCAATTAATGTTATTATAATGCATTTTTAAATTTACTGTTGTTTTTTTGTGGTAGAAAATAGTAACTTCGTTATGACATGAAAAATTCTTGGAATTAGTCATGGATTTGAAAATCTAAAATGTAGCAGATACCCTGTGTGTTGTATAATATTGAATAACTTTAAAATCCAGGTACTAAATCTTTTCTTTAATTCCTTACAGGAATAAATCGAAAAAATTCAATGTAATGCGCTTCAGTGGCTCTCAAAAAGTGGATGTGAAGACATGGACACAAGTAAAATTCATATTTTGTTTCAACTATATATAATAACATCTTTTTTAATACTCTTGGTTTAACGAAAATTGCTCTATTTTGTTTAACTTTATTTTTGTGCTTCTATCATACCTACCAAATCTCCTGTTCATCCTATCTTCTGTTCACCCGTACATTCTCAAATGTTTCCTTGTTTATTGTAGAAATTTGTTATATAATTGGCAATGAAACATCCTCTGATGTAAAAATAATAATCGACAAATATAATTAAAAGTGTTTTTATAGATAATGATTTAATTTGCTAATTAATGCCAATTTTTTTTTAATGTTTCGTTTCTTGAAAACTAAATGTTGTTTAATCGTTAAGGACTATACCTTTTCAAAACCACCAAGTAAAGATTTTTGACAAGTACATTAAAAGTATCTGCCCTTTTGTAAGTTTAAGATAAATTTTTATAATGTGAGAAGATTAAATTCTCTAAAAACGTGGACAATTTTTGAATCATTATATACTCCATGATCTAGAAGTCGTTCTTATTTTTTACCTTTGTTGCTATACATTATTTGTTTTGTAATAAAACAAAAAATTTTACTCATTGTTTTTATGTAAATAAATTTAGAAATTATAAGTTTGGTTATAATGGTTTTTATACAAACGAGATTCAACTGTAATGGTAGGTATAATTTTTCATATTGATATTAGTTAATAAAAATTGCTCTTAGACAATAAAAGATTATCCATGCTCGTCAATCAGGTTCCTTCAAGGTTGATTTGGGTGTTTGACAGGGTTGTATATTTTCTCCAACAATCTTTTTAATTGCTATTGGCTGGATTATGAAGAGAGTATTAGAGAATAAGCAGGTATAAGATTGACCTTGTTGAATATCTTCTGACCTTGATTTTTGCAGACGATTTATGTTTACTGACCAACAACCTTCAAGACATGCAAACAAACATAAGTGTTTTAATCATAGAGGCAAAGAAAATGGGGCTTATTTGCGACCAAAATAAAACTATAATTTTGAAAATTAAAGCTAAGCAATTGAATGACAAATTCTTAGAAAATGATGAACTTAAGGAAGTAGACTGTTTTCTATGTCTTGGAAGTATAATGAAGATATACTAAATGATAGATAATGATGATGAATATATACTAGATTGATTAAACAAAGCCCAAAGCAATTACACTATTCTCAATAGATTCTAGAAAAACAAAAACATTCTATATGGTGCGTAGCATTTTTAAAAAGTGCTTAAAGGTGCTTATTTTAGATTTTGCTTTTTTATTGAATGTTTTTAAGAAGTGCTTTTTTTATTGAATGTTTTTAAGAAGTGCTTTTTTTATTGAATGTTTTTAAAAAGTGCTTAGTTTTCTCTTTTTTTTCTTGATCCTGTCAATTTTCGTCTCATATTATGCAAAAGTGTGGTTTTCACATTATTCTATTCAACGTTTTCACAATGAATTCAAGCGCAAATCATTTGATATGTTTGATGATGACTGCATGTGCATATAATGAACTGGGTTCGGTGAGATTCTTGCTCTCTCATGTGTAACTCTACTGCATCCTGCAAGATATTCTCAATTTCATGCCTCATTTTCCACCCTCTGAAATCAAACCAAAAAATCTCTCGATCTTCTTTTGGTAGCTAATATAATCAAGAAAAGAGTTCTTTGTCAGAAACTAATTATTTTATCATGATCAAGTAAAGTCTTAAAAATTTATTTTGCATTTTGTTAATGTATATGGTGCTTTAAATTATTTTTTAGTGCTTAAAAAGTACTTTAAAGATGCTTATTTTTTGTTGAAAGATTTCGATACGCACCCTGTTCTAGAAAAACGAAAGCCAAATATTGTTAAAATTCTGTGAGTGGATTGCAATTGCATAATTTTCATACATGATAATTGTTTTTTTTTTTTTTGTTTTTTTTTCGTAATGAGTAATAGCTTATATTGTGTTTTTTTTTAAAAAATTGTTTTATGTATAATATGATTTTATTTTATAGGTGAAAATGGAAAGGGAAAATAATTTAAAAGAATTCAAAGCCGATGAAGATCAGCCAAAATTTGGTGCTGGGAGTGAATTTGGTCGTGAGCAGCGGGAAGAATCCAGGCGTAAAAAATATGGCATTATGACTAAAAAATATAATCCAGAAGATCAGCCTTGGCTGCTGAAACTTAATGGAAAAGGTGGAAAAAAGTAAAGGCTAATAAGATTTTTTGTTCTGAATGTTATTTTATGTAAAAAGAAATATGGTAAAATTTTTATTTATTTATTCTGTGATGTAGAAGAAATACAAATAAGAAATTTTACTTACTGTTTCAATAATTAGTAATTAAAAAATTTAGGAGAAGAATGTGTCAGGGAACTTTTTGAAAACGCTCAAACTTCTGCGTATAAAAATGTATTATTGATATCTCATCTGTAATTGAAGCATTTTAACTTAACTTCCCAAATTTTAAAGTTGGGCAATGCTTAGTAAAATTATGTCTTGCAAACATTTATTTAGTGTTTTTATGCATTTAGTAGCCAATTATTTCCATCATCTGTTCCACTTAACTTATTCTTCTAATAAGCTATTAATTGATTGAATGAGTCTTGAGGTCTGAATTAGTATTCATTTCCAAATTTCTTTCTAATGAATTGTTCACACATTTTAAAAGTAATATTATTAGATCTTACTTTTTCACTAATTTAGTAATGAGAATTCGGTTGTCTGTCCAGGCTAAATTCACTACTGTTTAGCGGTACCTTCACAGACTTACTTTTTCTTAAAATTTTATTTCTGTCTTAAAGAGTCTTAATGCCGATCATGACTGGAAAATATTGCAGTTTTTCTTTTTTGATGACAATTAAAAGCCCTTAAATTCCCTATGTGTAAAATATTCAGTACATTATGCAACAATTATCATGAAATTTGTACTTTGCAAAATCTACTGGATTTTTTCCTATCTATGTTGGCAGCTATGGGCATAAATCTTTTATGATATTATGATTTGAATGAGAATGGCTTTAGTAAATGTTCTAAGCTACTCAATAAGTTCACGCTGTGTTTATGCAGGTAAAAGTTTATATAACATATATACAGTTGGACCACTATTTAACGAAGTTTTTAAATCCCGATAATAAGTTCGTTATGTAGAAAATTTGTTAAATAGAAAATCACCTTTTGAAATATTTAAACAATACAAAACAGGTTTTAAAATCATAAAAACTAGTCATAATTAAAATAGCAATTGATACACCTTTATCTTGTAAACTAGTATCTACTATTTATTCTATAAATCTTAGCCATAAAAGAAATCTGCATAAGAATAAAGTAAAACATTATCCAGTGTTACCCTATCATACTACATACTTTTTCAACTAAAAAAAGCTGAATTTATGTATAAAATTATAGCTGCATTCATTTGCTATATAAAATTATAACTACAAAGTAATTTTAAGCATACATTATAACATGCGTTCTTAAGTTTAATTGTTACTGATAAAACGGTTAATTTTGTCAGAGTTTTTCGTTTGAAAATGGAAAGAGATTTTACTGCTCTCTCTTAAAGTTAAGTGGCTTCGAAAATCAATTCAAGGTCATTTCCACCATAAGGTGCGTTAACAAGTTTGATATGTTCTGAAATATTTTGAGAAATAGGGAAAGTAAATCTCAAAGAAAATTCAATTAAATATAAAATTCACTTCGCTATTTGGAAGTTATTTTACGAAGAAATTCCCAAAATGTTCTTGGTTCCTCGAAAAAATTCGCATAATAGATAAATTCATAAAGTGGAAGTTCGTTAAATAGTAGTCCGACTGTATATATATACATATATATTACATTCTAACTGTTAACCTAATAACCAGTTTTTAATATAAAAATTTATATCTTTGTCCTTAATACATTAGTATTAAGGATGAGTGAATAAAATTCTTAATTCTAACATCTCGATTACACTTACTATTCAATAAAAGATTTATTTGAATTTAATTTTCATTTTTGAGAGAAACTATCATAGTTCTTAATTTTCATTTGTTAGAATAAGAAAGAAAAACAGATTTGTTCCTTCCTGCATCAAAAGAAAGCTTGTTTTACACAAGTTGTCAAATGGGAAAGTAATGCACTTGTAAATTTCGGTACAGTTTCCTCCTAAGGCTCAACACTTGAAAGTTATTTATTTTTTCTTAAATTTGTTTACTGCTCATTATTTTAAAAGTTTCAACTGCTTTTTTTTGTTTTGTTTAGTGATTGCGGAAATATGCTCTTATCGAATGTATTTTTTATTCTTTATTTTTAAATTTTTTCTGCAAAAATTAGATATAAAGGAATTCGTGAGGGAGGAGTTACTGAAAATGCCTCCTACTATGTTTTCACTCAAGCAGCTGATGGAACTTTTGAAGCTTACCCAGTGGCAGAATGGTATAACTTCACTCCTATTCAACGCTACAAAGCTTTGAGCGCTGAAGAAGCCGAAGAAGAATTTGGGAGGTAATCATATTTCCTTTATTCAATAGCAGGGTGCGTAGTGTTTTTAAAAAGTACTTAAAGGTGCTTATTTTAAATTTTCCTTCTTTAAAAGCCCTTAAAGTTGCTTTTTTTATTAGGTGTTTTTAAAAAGTGCTTCATTTTCACTGTTCGAAAATGATATTTTTTTCTTTACCACTTTGATTTTCGCCATGTGTTATGCAAATGCGTGCTTTTCACATTGTTCTATTCAACTTTTTCACTATTCATTCCAGCACAATTCATTTTGGCGTACCGTCACTCCGTAGCGTATGAAAACGCCAATCATATTACATGTTTAATCAAATCAGATTAGAAAATTTCAGATAGTTAGTCTATGTTAGTTAACAGTGCTTTGTGTAAAATTAACTTAGCAATTTTACGAAAGTGTATTTGGCAACTTTTCTTGATTTTGCGGTGGTAAAAATTAAGAAAATTTTGTGACTGATCTGTAGGACCAATTATTAAATTCCACTAATTTATACATTCATTATTTCTACTCATGCCTATTAGAGTTTGTTGTCTAAAAAAAAAACAATATCCTTAAATTTATAAACCAAAATAAATGTGAGATCTTTGTACCTTTTTACCTAAATTGCACATTTGTACCTAAATTGCACCTTTGTACATAAATTGTACTACCATATACAATAGTGTATAAATCAACTTTTCAAACTCCAAAAATTATACAAAAAACTGACTATTGGCTCATTCACCGGATTCAGACATTTCAAACCCCCAAATTCGAACATTTATTGATCATGAAATATCAATACTTTATAACAATGAAATACATATGAATAACTCTGTATCAATTTACTTTGACAAATTACACTTTACGAAAATTATTTTTAATTTCTTACATGCCATTAATTCTGTAACTTCTCTTATGGTATTTTCTTTACTTATTAAGGTGTTTTATAGAGACAATACTACTTTAAATGACATTTAGAAAAAAATTAAGAATAGCCAAAGTTAAGATAATTTATTCAAGAGTATTTAGAAAAACATAACACAATGAAAACTTTTAAAACATACCATAAAGTTAAAAATTTATAGATTCCAGAACGTCACATTTGTGTCGAATTCATTAATGTTGTCACACGGATCCCACTCTGCTATGGATTCTACTTTATCCTCGTCTGCTGATTCCTGTAAAAATTATCTTTACCCCCTTCCAAGGAATTCAAAATTTACAATACCTTTCAATCCACATTTTACCACGCCTCAAATATCATTTGCAACACGGCCCCTTAACCGTTTGAGTCCCAAGCAGTGCGATCACACTATTGAGATTATATGTCGATAAAGATGATACGTTATGACAACTGATGGTACGTTACCGATTGTTGAAGTCACGTGCTACCACATCTAGAGATCCATGTGTACATCTAAATCCTGTAAATGTGTAAAAGAGGGGAATGTATATTTGTAATAATGCGGAATGAAATTGATGTAAAATATGGTTTTATTGAATGTACAGATTTTATGGTAATGTGTTTTATCATATTCATTAAATTGTATGTATTTAAAATGTATTACTCATAATTAGGTTCTTTATAAAAAATTTTTCCAGACGTGACAAAGTTTTGAACTACTTTTCCATTATGGTTAAAAAACGTCTTCAGAAAGAATCAATTGAAGAGGAGGATGAAGATGGTGAAAAACCTAGTGGAAAAAAGAAGAACAAAAAACAGGCTAAAGATTTTGTAAGTCAAGCTTAGTATTTTTTTTCTTTCTATTTTTAGTTTTTTTTTATATTATCAGATCAGTTTTTGTTATTATTCTTGACACCTTTTCCTGCTTAAGACAAATTTGTGTGATTAAGTTCAATTTATTAAATAATAGAAGAAATCACTTATGCAAAATCAGAAATAAATTGAACTTTATGAAAAGTTATGCTCAATGATTATCTATTGACAATTTATTAATCATTTGCGTTTGATTTTGCTTTTAAATCTTTCATAATCTTCATTTTATTTAATTTTTAAAAAAAAAGCTGCGACTTTGTTTCATAATATCACTCATTTTCTCTTTTTAAAAAAACAAAAACTATTTTTAGAGAAAGATACTCAGAATATTTATTTGCTTAGTTTATTTTTCATATGAAACTTCGTAATAAATCGTTATTTTGTGGTACACGTAATGTGCTTTACTAATGATAGGGTATACTTAGTAATGCTTCTAAAAATGAGTGAAACTTGTTTTTTTCATTTATGACCTAATAGATTTGTTAAACAATTAAGCTCAAAGTAATCTTTTGAAACTTGTATACTTTCTAATTGATAATCTTGACACAATTTAATATATTGTAACCTGTTTTATTGTTCTAAAGAAATTTGAGTTTCATTCCTTGCCTTTTAACCGATACATGTTATGAAAGGAGTAAATTTGATCTGGTCGCATGAATTAGTGCAAAATTATCTTGACCAGAGGACTCTTTACCCTTACACTTGACTAAGAGCTTTTTTTTTTGGAAGAAAGAACATGTTTATTTTATTTTCTAAAAGATGGTGCTATGCTGAATCAGTAAAAGTATGTAATTAATTATACCTAAATCTTTGTTAGCTGTGGCAGAGTGTATTTTAAAATATCAATTGCTGTCATATATTGTAATAAAAGTTACTTTTAAAAATCATCACAAGTATTTGCTTAAATGTGCATTGATTAATCTCGCTTTCCTTATGATTAATCTCACTTTCTAGAAAATATCTGACATGGATGACTGGACTAAAGATTCTAGTGAATCTGGTGATGAAGATGACGTAGAAGAAAATGATGAAAAATCTGCAAAAAAGAATGCTAAGAAAGGTAAAAAGAAAAAGAAGGAAGATGTAGAGGATGAAGGTAAAGAAGAGAGTGATGAAGGAGATTTTGATGATCGGGAAGTGGATTATATTACAGGGTCTTCAAGGTATGAAATTTTTAAAAAAAAAAAAATTGTGTTTATTTGTGCTACCAGCTATCAAACTAGCTTGTAATTTGCTAATTTTTTTGTAATACTATTGTCCTAATTTAGAAATCAATGTTTCTTTATNAAAAAAAAAAAAAAAAAAAAAAAAAAAAAAAAAAAAAAAAAAAAACTGAATTACCATCATCTGACAAGGAAACATATTTTCTATGTGTATATAAATGTTAAAATGCAATTAATTTATTATTAGGCCTTTTTATTGTGTATTTATTATTTTTTGTGGTGTTTTAATATTTCTTATTTTGTTTTTATGTAGTGAAGTTTACATATTTTAAGAAGAATATTAACAAAACAATTCGAAATTTATCAAATGAATCTCAAAAACATTCTTTAAAAAAAATCTTTCTAACATTTTGAAGCATGCCAAAATTTGTTGTAATAAAAATCACTAGATTTTTTTTATTTTAAACACAAATTGCACATAACCATTTATATGCATAAAATGCAACTTTTATTTCATATTTAGTAAGAGAAAATGATATTTTGAGGCCTGTTGGCTGAGTGATATCTCGTGCCACAGATCCTTGTTTCAATTCTTGGACCGGGAACAGTAAGGCTTGGCCCTGTATGGACTGTCGCGCCACTGAGTTTAGTGTAAAAAGATATTTTTGATATGCAAGAAATGTTACATATTATTGTTTTAAAAAATTAGGTTGTACAATTACAGTAATTCAGATACTGGTTGAAATAGTCACTAATTTCTGATGAAGCAGTCAAGATTTCAAATGGTTTTATAATTTTTTTCTAGAAGCATAAAAAAACATGGGAATGGTTCACAAAAAAGTTATATTTTTTTTCAGAAGTTTGTACAGCTATTAACGATTGCCTCTTTTGTGAGCGTATTTTTCACTTTAAAATGTTAACTTGCAGCTCTGAAGAGGAGTTAGAAGAAGAAAAAGTGAATCGTGAGATGAAGGGAGTCGAAGATGAAGAAGCTTTACGCAAATTAGATAATTCAGAAGATGAGGAAGAAACAGAAGAAAATAAAGAGACTGAAGAAAACCCTGAGCAAGAAAAAGCTCCAGAAGTGGAGAAAAAGAAGAAAAAGAAAGAAGGTAAAGGAGGAGGTAAGTTATGATCAATTTGTTTTAATTTTCTGTTGACTGTTTATTGTAGGAGATCTTGACTGTTTATTGTAATTGCTTTTAAATTTATCATGTTATTCAAGTATCTTTACACATATTATTTTGCAAATACAGTGAAACCTCTCAGGAGCAACCACTTCTTGTAAAATGGTCCTTAATCGGGGTAGGTCGATGTTAGGGGTTATCTCCATCGACTTTATTTTATTGAAGGTAACAAGATTTTGTCTGAGTGATTTTATTTCATTCAATGTCATTCTCTTGGTGTGGAAATGCCACTAGTGTAGGCATCATGAGAACCAGATCGATGAATAAAATTTAACGACTATAAAATTTAGGCCTACTGATATAATTGTGCATAAAAACAAATTTACCAATTATGTATAATAGAACTAAATAAATAAACAATTTTATTTTTCATTAAAGTTTGAACTTAATTTTATATTGTTGAGAGAGTTTTTGATGGTCTCTCCTTAAGGTTTTCTTCAACGCAAAGTCTGTGGAGAAAAAAAATCTGTGTCTCCCAAACGTGGTTGTAAATAGAGAAGGTCGCTAAACAGTGGTGGTCTTTCTTGGAGGTTTCACTGTATTTTATTTTTTTATACTGCATATTTCTCCTTTTGAGATCAAGCTAAAATAATGGCAGGGAAGGCAATTTTTACTGAGAAATATGTAGCTTCAAAGAAAATTAGCTCAGGCAATGATTTAAAAAAAATAATAATAATAATTCTGTGGTTATAAATATAATTACTTTCTTCTGGTATTTTTAAAATTTTTTTACATTTTGTCGAATATTTTATAGTGTATTTTTTCACATTTTAGACACGAAACATAATTTACTAGACTCAAACAATAAAATATTTTTATGCCATAAAACTTTTCAAATGCAGAGGTAATCGTACTCCAGGTGTACCCAGGATTTCCTGTTTTTTTTATTTTTTTATCTTTCCTTCCGGTCCAGAAATTAGGAACAGGGCATGTGATTTTTTTCACGGAATCCTGTGTATCTCAAGACCATTGATTAACAGACTTCCTCGAATTAAAATTTATAATCCAACAAAATTTTCACCACAATCTAAAATTTAAAGTAAGAGTTTAAATTTAAAGTATTTCATATAACTTATTTTAAGTTGTCGATATAGGACACACAATAATAGTTTTTGTATAGTACAATAATAGTTCTTGACTGCCATAAAAGCTCAAATATTATTACCTAATTTTTGCAACCTAATAATTATACCTTAATAATAGTTATGTTTCACGTAAAAGTCTTATTTTTTTGTTACTTAGACTCGTCTGGAGATTCTTCTTCTGATACTTCAGATTCTGACTTTGATGATAATAAAGTTCATGCTGTGTTTATGCAGGTAAAAGTTTATATAGCATTTTTTTTGTTTTTTACATTCTAACTGTAATCTAATAACCAGTTTTTAAATATAAAAATTTATATCTTTGTCCTTAACCCTTTAACAGTATATATTTTAGAAAAATTGAAAATTTTTTTGACTGTTTCATTTTGTTCTTTTTATTATGATAAAAATTAGAAAAAGGGTTTTTATTAAATTTTTTTTATTTAAATGCAATAACTACTGTATTTATAATTTTTACATACGCGTAAAAAAGTAATGGATTGCACGTACATCTTATTCAATTAGAGCAAATTAATTTGAGCTAAATATAATATAACTAGTATAATATAATATAAAAACACAACAATATGATTTTTAATACATACATTTTTGCAATAAAGCATCTGACAACTAATTGGTGAAAACCTAGGAACACTAATGCCATCTATTAGTAAAATAGTGAATTAAGTATCCTTAAGTAGAAAGAAACTCGGCTTGGGCTTCACAAAATAGATACAGTAAGACCTCTATTATCCGAGCTAATTGGGACCGCTAGTACCTCGGATATCGGAAATCTCAGTTAATAGAAGCCATGTAAAAAAAACCTTCTGTACTTGCGAATTTAACTACTTTTAAAGTAAAAAACAATAGAACGTTTTTTAAATTATAAAGGTAAATATATATGAACTTATGTTTCACAGCTAAAAAGATTTAAAAAGGAAATCAACTCTAGTAGTGAATTTTAAAAAGTAAAATGGAATTTTTTACTTAGTGTATAAAATTCCATTATAACTATACTTAGTTAAATATTGAAAGAAACATTTTCAAAAATAACACAAATCTCAAGAAAATATTGTAGTTTTAAAATTGACATGATTAAACTTACAAGTCACATGACCACTGTTAACAAAGCATTCATGGATGTTGTCTTCTCAGGGTGTAATATTTCATGGAAGTTGAGTGCGTTTGTGGGGAATAAGTGCCTGTTACACGGACAACGAACTAATATGTGTATAATTTCTTCCAAGCTCATTTTGGAGAGGAGAAAAAAAAAATTTAGACTTCGTTATTGCCTCGGTTAACAGAAACCTCGGTTAATCGAGGTTTTACTGTATGCTAATTTTTCTCCTGCCCAAAGTCAGTTCGGGCATCACAAATACTGCTCGTGGTAGTTGCTCGAACTGGATTCGGGCGACACTGGCAAGGGGTTAATACAGTGGTTCCCAACCTGGGGGCGATCGCCCCAAAGGGGGCAATAAAGCTTCTCAAGGGGGCGATAATCCTTAGGGGGTGATCAGGGGGCGACGAGTACTCAAAAGATAAAAATTGCTAATAATATTAATAATAAAAGCTATTTGAGATTGAAATTGAAAATATATATGAAACCTATGGTTCTGGTGTAGACAAAGAATTATGATAGTTAAAAATTAAAAAAAAATTCAAGTGCAGGATCGTTTTCGTCATACGTTTTGGTATCGCAGGCGGAAATCTGATAAGTCGCTCTGTTCCTCTGAGCAATAATACTGTTTCCAGGCGTACTGATGAGATGGCCGCAGACGTTGAATCAAAACTCATTAAATTTCTGAAAGAAGGTAAATTTGCGTTGCAGATTGATGAATCAACTGTGATAGATAACAAAGCTGTTTTAGCTTACGTGAGATTCATAAATGA